ACACCAGCACCAACTTCTAGTCCTCGACCAAATATCACATTCCACACTTATAAATGTCCGGAAGCTTATGCAACGTGGTATTGTCTCAACGGCGCTACATGCTTCGCTGTTAAGCTTGGAGTCGAAGTGCTTTACAACTGTGAGTGTAAAGATGGATACATTGGACCGAGGTGCGATTACAAAGATCTCGATGGGTCGTATTTAGGTGAGTTAAAAATATTTACTTAATTGACGAAATAAAACAAATTTTAAATGTAGCTTCGTCTTCTTCTTCTTTTTTATCAACAGCTGGAAGATCTCGAGTGATGCTCGAAACAGCAAGCATCGCAGGCGGTGCCGTCGCAGCAATGCTTTTAGTCTTCATCGTAGGAATTTTTATTTTCATTAAAAAGCATAAGAGAAAGTGCGAGTTTGAAGTCGAAAGTCAACATGAAAGTTGTGAAAAATTTTGAAGCGACTTCTCGATGACATTGAAGTCTTCTTTAAAGTATTCTTCAAATAATGCAAGAATTTTAAATTATTTCTTAACTCTTAATTTTTAAAGACTTAAAATTGGATGAAGAAAGTTTTTTTTGTGTAATTTAAAGACATTAAAAGAATCTGTGATGTTAGTGATAAGTTTAAGTTTATGACATATAAAATAAAATAAAAATAATAAGAAAAGAGAAAAAATTCTTGAAATCCTTCTTCTTGTCGTAAAATACTTTTCATGTTACAGGTTCCTTAAGTAAATTATGATAAAAGCGAAAATTACAAGCCTTTGTATCGGAGCGGCATGTGCCACGAGTATTTTTTCATTCTTTCCTTGTTTGGCAAGTCATAACATTTTATTAACTTTTCCTTATTCAATTTTTATTCTCTTCCCAAGAGAACTGGAACTTAAAACTTGCCTGCTGGTCCCCGTGCCGGTAATTAAAGTTTAATGACATAAAATGCATTCTTCATGTTGTGCGTCTCCATCTTCTTGTTGTTTTGAATAAATTTATGTCTTGTTTGAGTTGAATTCGAAGCTTCTTACTTACTTTCGCACGCAGACAAGAAATTGATGATTTTTTATTAAATGGCATTTTGCGAAACAAGTTCCATGCAAAGGACAAAGAAAAAAAAGAATTTTTATTAGCGCGTGCCTTCTGTTCTCCTTTTGCCACATCGTAGCCTGTTATCATGATCTTCAGGTGTTCAGCATCATCTTTTCTTTTAGTAATTCGATATGAGTTTTACTGTTTCCAAGCACACATTTTCGATCTTAAAAAGAATTTCTTTCTGTTTGTGTGTGTCTGTGAAAGAGCCATTTGTTATCCAAAACGAAACAGGAACTTTTTAGCAGACGAAGGATAATGAAAAGAAGAACATCATCAAGATTGTTGGGGAATCGCGCCATAAGGTTTCCTTTTTTTTCGCTTCTCATCTTTCATTTGATTAAGAATTTTATGTTTCTAAATAATATATTTTTAAACATTGTTATTGGTTCAGGAGCCTAATAATATTTGTACACTTTCAAATGTGCCATGTGGTTGGGACATTTGCTTGATCTTAGATCGGTAACTATTGAAGAAGATGTTAGAAGTTATAAGGGTAATTTGAACTCTACTCATGTTTCAGAGTTCTTGGTAAAAAGTATTATTAAATTTACCACTTGAAGCAATGATCATGTAAACAATGTAACCATCATCACGAAAACCAGCTTCACCAGTTCTCTTACCTTCATACGCAATTTTTCAATTCTTAATTGTTGATTTTAAGTTGTTATGTGTTTTTTTTTTCTGGTTCGTGGCAGGCCACAAATTCTTCGATACCAACATGTTTCGATCAAAGTATTTTGATTTCTCGGAAAAATTAAAACATTTGTTTGCGAAACTTGTGGAACTTACAAGAAAGAAATAAAAAATGAATTTTTTTGTGCATTTTGGAATTTTAAATTTTCTCGTCTTCTTATTTATTTGTGCACATTAAATGGCACACGTTGTGTTGCGTCGACAAACAACGCTTCGTTTATCGAAATAAATTCCACTGCATTGAGCCAACTTAGCTTGTTTGAAAATTAGTTTTGTTTTTGTGTCTTAGACGTACAAAATTTACAATCGAAAATTGCTCAACATATTTTGTGTTTTTCTGCATTTTTTGTTGTTAGGCCTCCACTTTTCATCATGTCTGCTTCTATCGTTCGTTAACAAAACCTTTCAACATTTAATGAAGATCGAAATGTGAAATTTAAATTTTTGTTTCTTTCTTTCTTTTTTTTTTGCGGTGTCCATGTGTTGCAATTTATTGAAAAAGAAATAGAAATTATAAGTGGTTTGGTGTGTGCCTTCTGATAACTTTTAAACATCTTTAACTTTTGCATTTGGTAATTTAAATTTAGAAAATGGTGAAGAAAAAAAACTTCTCAAGCCACACGCTCCATTAAAGTAAGAATTTTGTATTCCCATCGACGATAATTTCAAGCATCCACCGAAGTTAACTTTAACATCATTATGTTAATGAACTGTTGTTAAGTTTCGTTAATTAATTGTGCCATCCTTTTTATGATGCGTGAGAGCGAAGGGTGAGACGACAAAATCGAGTGAAGATTGATATGTCAGGATGCATTAGCATTTATATATGGAGGTTAATTATTTGAGGATGAGTCTAAGTTATGATTTAACGAGATTTTCAACAACTTTTCTTCTCTCTTTAACACTCGGAAATTGGGTAAAAATTGATACCCTGACGCCAGCATACAATAAATTAGACGCGTTCCGAAACCACTTAAAATCTTTAATGTGTTGAAGCACAAAGATTGTTATTAGGCATTGAGCGTTCGCCTTATTAATAAATGGATCAATTTTCAGTGAAAAAATCTTTTATTCAACGATTTTTCTCACGTAAAATTAAATGATTTTGATTGGAAAACAACTTTAATTTCACTTTAATGAAAACTCTTTTAAGGGATCCATTAGCTATTGAAGGCAAACGTAATTGAACATAAAATCATAAAGTCTTTTAAAAAGCATCAATAAAACGAGATCAAATGAGATTGCTATAATTAGAAAATTTCATTGCACAATGGAGCTTAGAAATTCATTTGAAGATACAAAGTTGAATGTAAAGTTCCGTGAGAATAGTTTGAAGTTTACTTTAAACTCTCTAAATATGTAAATGAAGGTAGGCGCTTAATGTGTGACTTTTATGTCGCGTGCTAACATTGATGATTTCTATTCATTTCTAAGAATTCATTAAAAATTCAACTTGCAAATTCCGTTGAATTTCATAGAGCGTGTATAGTTGCCTCGCTATTTATGTGGGGGGCGTTAACAAATGAAGTTACTCAACAACTAAACAGATTTAAAATTGTTTATTTTGATGTAGTTAACTGATTTCTTTTGAAAAAACATAAAATTTACAATGCAAACTCCAATAAAAGTTAAAAAGGTTTTCGTCTACTTAGAACACTTCTTTTAAATTTCTTTTAAGTTTGGAACATATCAAAGAATTATTTCCTAGATTTCCCATAACCGTTGAACAAACAAAAACAAATAAAACACAAAACATTTTCTGATAATTTACCGCATAGGGCTTTTCCAAGAGGAATAAATTCCTTAACCTTTCAGAACGATGCTTTTTGATCGGCATCTCTAATTTGTTGAACTTCAATGAGAATAGTTTAAGAAAACAAATTAAAAACATGAAATAAAAAGAAGAATTAAGCAATTGAGCCATACAGAATCAGCGCAGCATTTGATTGTTCTTTGATTGTTTTTCTTGGGTGGCCGCGTGAGAGAGTTAATTAGAAATATCATAAATTCTCCTTCATCTTTATGGTTTTTATTTTTTCGGGGGCGCATAAGATGAATCAAAGATAGGAAAAGTTTCGTTTTTGATGTTTCTGAGAGAATCCGAAGAAAAGGTTTTCAATTTTAATCACTTGATGTGAAAAACGTCAATGATTAAAGTCCAATTTCTAAAATTAGGTTTCTCAAAGTTTTCCGCAAATCGTGATTCGACTTTGAACTTTTAATTCTTCTCATAATCGTGCAAAACACGTGATCATTTCACATGATTTCCTTAATTAAGTTCGTTGCTTTCAATACTCTCATTAATAGATTTATATTCCTTGGATAAACACCAGCAGCAAAAATTATCTCAGAATGAGATTTCAACGGGTATTAAATATTAAGCGACAAGATAAGTGGAATCGAATTTTCTGCGAAATTAAATTTCTACGCAAAAACGAAACCACGAGAAAAAAAATTAGAAAAAAAATGCAAAACAACACCTCAGGCGCCATTCGATGAACAATTTCTCCATTCACTTCTATTTATAATTCTCCAGCTCAACAACAAGCTGAATCATCTGAAATGAGTAAAATTCACCTCCGCCTTATACATTTAATGAATGAAGTTTTTATTTCGTATTTTAAAACAAACCGTTTCGAAGATTTGTTTTATGTTTTGTTTGCGATAATAAGTTGGCGATTTGTTTTAAAAATACAACAAGTGTGAATGAATGAAGTAATTTTACGTCTTTTACTTGTACACGATGCATGTCGAGTGTGTAAACAAAACAGAAGATGAGAAGGAACTCGTATTATGGTTCCTGGTGCATTGGCAGATAAAAACTTTCAACTAGCAAAGTTTTGCTTCAATCTTTCCATCCACATTCACGCCTTCAAAACTTCATAATGCAAAGTTGTAAACAATCAAAAAGAAAAGAAGAAAGTAAATTTATTTTCCGGGAACTGCTTTGGAAACATTGATGAGAAAAACTTCAATAAAAATATTTCTCAGATGATTTTCCTTCTTGCAAGATTCCTTCCTGTGAGTTCATAAAATTGTTGTAACCAGAATGTGTTAAATACAACAGGCTGAGAGTGGGAATCAACTTTGTAAACAAAACAATCACATCGGAGGTTTTTGGAGAGTGAGAAGCGGTTGTAATAGCATCCAGAAGCATCCAAGAATTAATATGATGAAGAAGAAACTTATTTTTGGTAATTTTGTTTACAAAATACTGAAAAAAAAAGAAAGACTGAGGTTGTTGTTGTTTTAATTAGTGTAAAGATCTCTCAATGAACTTTGTATCAGAAATTCTGACATTTTCGAGTTCGAATATGCAATCTAAATACAAAGTGTTCATATGAAGGTTTTTGTATCAGACATTGTTGGTTTCTTCTTCTCCTTATTTTTAAATAAAAAACAGTAATTTCCAAATGAAACAGCTATTAGCTGGTCAGTTTCTCAATTTTTATGTTTCCAACCAATGTTTTTGAGTTATTATGCGCAGACAGGAAAGTCGTAAAAGCGTCCACAGATAAGTCATAAAATTTGGAAACTTTCAAAACACTAATAGCGTTCAAGATCAGCCAAAATAAGATAATTTATGATTTTCGTCCGTTTGAAGTTGTGAACCAACAGCAGATGTCACAACAAATCAAAACTTCTAATTTGATAAGACGAAAGGTCTGAAAAGCGACAGCAAAGCGCGTTACGAAAAATCCATCAAAATTTGTTCCAAATTAAAGTTTTTAATCCTCGACTTTAACATTGGACAACATCTGGAAAATGTATCGAAAGCGAAAGGACATGTCGTCTAAACAATTTTAAACACATTTTATATAAAGACGACGAGAGCGTTGCCCAAAAAAAGTAATGAAAGAAACAAAAATTATATGTCGGAAGTTTAAGATGACAGTTGCGATGAAATTTGAGACGTTGACGGGAGCACGAGTGAGTTGTAAAATGACACAGCTACGACATTAGACATCTTTGGACAGTCCATTTACATTTTAAAGAAACGTTAGCATCGAGTTACCAATTCACAACATTTGTGTGATCTTAAGAATTGGAACACTGCAGCCGTCGTCTTTGTCAACATCCTTAGAAAATGAATTTCAAAAAGATGTTTATTCAACTATGAACTCATCGACAATAATGAGATCGATGACATGTTTTAAGTGAAAAACTTGAAAAACTTTTCCTTCTTCACCACATCTCGAGATTTGATTTAATTAAACAACGCGATAATGCGATAAATTGTCGATAACTTGTGCGTGAACATCTCGCGCATGTGCCAGGAACATCGAACATGATCATATTTCTCGGCGCAGACAGCTTAATCAGTTTTTACCTAATAAATCTTCTTGTCGCTTTTTTGTTGTGTGTACGCGCCTATTGAGTGAAGTTTTTCATTTTTTTTTGTTGCCGTTGATATGTTTCGAGTTTGGTGGTCGTGCTGACACTTGCACTCTATTGTTACATTCGAAAACCTGTTCTCGAATGCATGATATTTAGATGTTTGCTTTAGTTTATGATCCTTGATGTTGAAAGAAAAAAAAAAACATAAAAAATGAAATCAATCAATATAACGAGAAGAGTTTTAAACGAAGGGGATGAAAATGATTTTTTGATCGTTTTACTTACGTCAGGATATCGATGACAATCTAATTGAAGTTGAAGTGGCTTTTCATGTTGTAATAAAAAATTGATGCTGGGCTTGATATTATTGTACAATTACCCGAGTTGTTTTTTTGATTTAGGGGGAAAGATTGCAAAGGAAATAAAAGTGAATTAGATTAGAAAATGATATAAAGCATGTGCTTGAAGACAAAATACAAAATCTGACAGCAAACGTTCATCATATTCAACTAGATAGATAAATATCTGCTCGTAAGACCTTCTCACGATTCAATGAAATTTTAATAAAATGAAAAGGTGTTTAATCCTTTTAAAATATTCATGCTTCAGCGACATAGAAATATAACGCAATGCACGTTATTAATGCGACTAACAATTGGAGAGGTGAATGAAACACAATGCTAAGCAACGATTATTTTGTTTTTCCTCATAATTCTAGTAAATTAATTCGCTTTTTGCATTTCCATTATCTTCTTTTTTTTGTTAACAGCTAAGCACCTCATAATTCAATTTAATAGGCGGAATATTTATGAGAAAATTATGGAAATCTTCTCAAATGAAGTTTTTCATTTTTCTCTTATTAGAAATGAAAAATGACGAAATTAATTTTTGAAGAAAAATTAACATGTTAATGTTGGGGATATGTGTTTGTTATGTAACTCGCTTATCTACCTTTAATTCCTCTTTTGAAACTTTCCATTAACTAAACTTGAAATGTTTCTTTCAGCTACTGGTACACACGCATCACGTCCTTTAATAGATTAGCTGACATAAATGCGCACATAAACGAGGGTGGACATGAAAATTATAAAGCAAACAAACGGACAACACTTGACGGCTTTTGAACTGCTGAAAACGCATTGTTTATGATGTAAACAACTCATGATCAACTTACAAACTTAGTGATTTATGGAATATGAAAATTTGCTTAACAAACTTAAACTATAATATTGATAAAGTATCCAACACTTCATATCGTGTCATGGATGTAAATATTTGAAAGTGCTTTTCAATATTTCGACGAAAGTTCATTAAACTCTGAACATGAGTTAAGAAAACAATCATTTGCAAGTCCTTAAACTCTATAAATTAAACACGTCGTTACATAAGTCATTTACATTTAATTTTTAGTTACGTTGAACAAAATTCAAACAATTTTCATCTATTCTAATGATTTGTGAGTGTTTACAGCAATTGCCATCTAAATAGCGACAATCAAACAAGAAAAAAGTCGCGTGTTTCGCTTTTTGAGTATAACTGAAAAATTTTCGCGCTTAATGGCGAACGCCTGTGGCAGTTTGCATGTCTGATGAATTTATGACCGAAATATTTATAAGCTTTTCAAGCTTCAGTGTGATTAATTCACATAAAAACTTAGGCCTTGTGTTTAATGTTGTTGTTAGAAAGGAAAGAGAAGGACTCTTCTTTTATTCATTTCCGAATAATTTCGCCCAAGAATACGAAATTTTTATTAACGATTTAATTTCTCACAACTCTTCTTAAAAACTCAGCACATCATTTGTTATTTGTTCGGCTGAAAAGCTCAATTTAAAAATTATTACAATCTAAAGTACCTCAAATTAAAGGTTAATGGAGTCAATAATTTTCTATCAATTTTCTTCTATTCGTATATGCTTCTCACAGTCAGCAGTTGAAAGTCAAATATCTTGTATGAACATAGAGCGTCTATAAATATCTCAACGTAAATTTCATAACGCACGGCAGGGTGAAAACTCACATTAATTAAAAGAAGCCACAGCAATCTTTTCCATAATCGAACAAAGTTGAGCGAGAGCAGACTGTGGAAGATGATTCAGTGATTGATTCTTCATCTTCTTCATAAACTCAAATCCAATCCAACGTAGACTGATTGAAGAAACGTGGAAAAGAATGTTAAATTAAGTTGCTCTCGGAAGTTCTTTCCAATAAGTTTTATTCTGAATATTTATTGGATGCCGAGTTAATCGAACAGTTCTATGCTAATTTATATGCCGTGAAATCGTTTTCTGTTGAAAACCGTGAACTTTAGGCGCCATCACGGTTGGTTCTGATTTTTAGGAAATTTTCATGAAACAACCAATCGGTTGGATGTTGCTAATTCAAGTGCTTGCAAAAAGATGAAGAAGTTTTCAGCCATTCTTTAATCAAACCATGGAAATTATTTCTAAATAAAATGAAGAAAAGAGTTAATTATGCAATTTCCACTTCTCCCACAACTTCCTAGCCAATAATCATTGTTGAAGGCAGTTGGAATTAAAAAAATTACGAGTAAAGTCCCACGATAAATTTAAAAAGAAGAAATCTCATTTCTTTCCTTTCCATGAACTAATTTTTTCCGAAAATCGATAAAAATATTTTCCATTCGATTCACTAAACTCTTTTTCGAGGTTTATATTTTCAATTTCCCGACTCTATAAAAAAATCGTAACCAGCCAGCGTTGTTAAGTATGGGGAGTGGAGATAGTATAAACAGATCAGTGCGATCATATGGAATTTAAGAATTTATTATAGAGAAGCTTCAGTTGGTTTTAAAATAACAAGATACAAGAGTCAAAATTTCACTTTCTCGATGTTTACAGAACAAAAAAACGACTGTAATTAGTTTATAATTAGGACAAGAATATCGTTTCGATGTTTTCAGATACTATTTAGATATCGTGAGTAGTTTGAGGTTAGATTCTATTTTCATTCACTTCGCCTTGTCGAATTCAAATTGTCTGACAATTTAATATATTAGGGTGTTGAGTGGTCTCAGGTGCACTTAGGTGCCAGCTTTTCAAGGGGAGATTTATTGCTGTTGAAAAATTGGTTGTCTTTAGTTGACAGTGAACAATTCTAATTATCATTATGAAATGTTAGAAAGTTCACCAAATCAGTTTCAACAAAGCTAACAATGCTTCTGCTTTTTCTTCATCTCATTCTTCTCGTGCGATTGTGATGTCAAACATTTCATTCATGATCATCATGACCATACACGCATTACATAAGTGACTAGTCATTATTCCCTCTTTCTCTCGTCTTATTTTCTTTTGTGCTTTACCGATTCTACATATGCGTTTACTTCTTAAATGTGATTTGAAAAACAATCGCGATGATTCTACCTGTTACTTATGATCATTTCATCTAATAAATGATTATGGGCCGGTAGTTTAGTTTTTGAAACTTCTTTTATTTTTCTGCTTTTGCTTTCTTGATGTTCGGTGTTTTTCGGTCATTAATTAATTACAAATGATTTTCATGACTGATGATTTTGGGAGGTTTTCATGGCTTTAGAACATGTTAAAGTCAATAATGATCGCAACCTTAAATTAGAGTGTCTTGAAATATTTGTTTTAAAAAAGCCGATTAAAATTAGATTTTTTTTCCTTGTTGGTTTTGTCGGTTTGATGAAGGAAATTGAGTTGAGAAAGAAATAAAAACTTTGACCACACAACAAATGAAGAAACTGTTGAATTTTGTATTCATAATCATACTCCCAAATTTTTATTATCAACGATGTTTTGAAAATATTTCTCCAACTTATTGTTAAAACTCCGTTAACAATTCAAAAGAAGAGAAAACGAAAACTTTCCACAGAAGTCGTGGGTGGGAAAGGTAAGGAATCGTCTTGTCGCCAAAATTATGCATTGACACACGCAATTTAGAGATGAATCATTCTCGAGAGGGATTCAAATGTTGGAAAGGTACATAAATCTTGTGAATTACATTCTCTCACGTACCTTCGAGTAGTTTCTTTTCCATCCTTCAAAAATTGCTTCTATTCCTGTGTCGACTCTCCTGATATCACATTTTATTTGATCAATAAAACAGGAAAATTAAACCCCGAACAAATGCGGTAGAGGTGAAATCATACAAAACATTTTATTGTTGCCTGACTGAACCCCACAAAAATTGCATTCAAGTCCATCGATTTTTATTCCAATGTCTTCGTACACCGCCCGTCATGAACCTGTTTATGTTTATTGCCTTTACATCCACACTTCACTTCAATGAGTCAACCAACCCTCAATACTTATTTAGTGAAATAACTAAGAATTTCTTTTCCTTCACGAGTTGAAGAGAGAAAAAAAGTTGGGAAGGTGGCCAACGATTCAGAACATGATGAGGCAGTTTTTATGCAACATTGCACAACGTCCATTTGTTCTTTAATTTCGTTCTGTTATTTTCTCTCGCCCGGGCATTAAAAATTTAATTTAAAAATTATTGTTGTCTTTCTGTATCTTGTCTAAATCAAATTATAAGTTGTCCAAGTGTTGTTGTTCTAGCGACAGTTGATGATTTTCTTCTTTTCATAGAGAAACGAATTAGAATTGTTAGGCATGGGAATTGTGTTGTGAATGAATGTGTTGGTGTGTAAAGTTATTAAGTAACTGAAAGTTATTCTATTCTAAAGAAATATCTAAATATTTATGAAACATTCTTCAGAGTGGATGGGGGAAAAATGCTTTTATCGACACTTTAAAACTGTCTCATAAATTTCTTAATTGAATTAAATTCACGATGTGACAAAACTCATTTTAAAGTCGCAATTTGTTTTCAAATAATTTTTTGGAATTCTTTTTTGTTCAATTCGGAGACTCCTTTGATTCCATTACGGGTGTTGAAACGTAATTCTTCATTTTATTTCTCTACCATCCATTGTCTTAGATTCATTAGATTTAAAATAGAATTGGTTATGGTTTTTTTCGGTTCTTTGAACTCTTCGTTTCGCTTGTTTCGATGGTTTGTTATTGCTGATGGTGACTTGTTAGTTTCAATGTCTCACACTTCTCTTGACGGTGTAGAATTTTTTTTAACGTTTTTTATCGTGAAAAAAAAATGTTTGTTGGGAAAATCTTTCGATTGTTCTTCTTTAGTCTCGATGAAGAAGACGAAACAGAAGTTTTAGAAGTTTGTTTTTAATATTTTATTAGATTTCCCCTAAATTTTCCTTTACTTTGCTAAATCGTGAACATAATTGCCCTTTTTTAATTTGCTTTTGTCATTCTTTTCTGGTACAAAATACTGCATCAGTTGATGATGTTCAACCACATCTGCCCCTAGATTAATGAGAAGTCATTTTGTTGTTACCAGCATTCCATGTCCTTATAAAGGCAAACGAATTGCATCAAACATGATGAATTATCATGCGCAATGTGTCGCTGATGATATAAAATTTATTTATGCAATCTGTTCGATCATCAATTGAAATCAAGTCGACGCTGAAAAGGAAAGATAAAAAATGTTTTGTTTCGTGTCTCGTGCTTGCAATTAAATTAATGATAAATAAGTAAACTTGTAACACAACATTCTCTTAGTTTTCTTATCACATTTGTTTCAATCATTGCTCGCTCGCTTTTGCAGTTTTTTTTTCATCTGCTGCATTTATAATAATGAAAAGAAGCTTCTAATTTCAGGTGTTCAATGAACAAAATAAAATAATAAAGGAAAAAAAATGAAATGCTCGACATCATCAATAAAGCAAATGAAATTTGATACAAAACAGATACAATTTAGTTTCTTGCCTTCTGCATCAAATCGAGATGCATACATTTGAAGGCATTTTAATAATATAATGAACGATGTGGATTTAATGTGCCATAAGGCTTCCGATCCTCAAACATATCCACCGTCATATAACAACATTTTTATTGTTATTGCATTTATATGATTCAGGCAGCCTAATAATCCTCAATTTCAATGCACAACAAAAATTCCTTAAATTTTATTCAGACAAACTTCCATGTTGTTGTTTGATTACAATCTCAAAAAGTTCTTTTCATGTTTCCTTTTCTGTTTTCTTCTCGATCGCAAGGGCTCATAAATAAATAAAAGAGAATCATAAAGTGGGCGGATTGATTCCTTTTTTCAGAGTTCTCCGATGAACAGAAGTTTGATGATTTGTGTTTCTTGATAAAATCTTTAGTAGCCATTTAGAGTCTTTTTCTTATCGATTTCTAAAACGATTTATGAGGTGAATTGAAGGGAGTAGCTTATTGATTATTATGTGGTTTAGAAATGTAAGCTGCTGTTCAGCTCAATAAATTCTTTTCAATCCTCTGTCAAACTATCACAGTGTGAAGATTACAAAGAAAAGCTTTCAAAGGGTTTAAAATTATTATCAACAAATGTTATCCAAACAATTGCCATCATTTAACTGCTCATTGATTGATTGTGAATTAAAAGTCGATTGAGTCGATCAATAATAATTTGACAATTCTGATGAGGGTGTGAATCGATCACGATGAAGACTGTTTGGTCAATAAATTTGTCAACAATTAATGGACGAAAGTAAATAAAAATGTTTGAAGCATTTTCATAAGAAACAAATGACAATTTGTTGCAACAAATCTGTTTACACTTTTCATGTTGCAGTTTGCAGATGATACTCGATTTGAGTGATAAATCAAATAATGTTTTGATCGATTGATGTGCACTTAACAATGATAGTGGAAAAGAAATTCGACAGATGAACATCTGGAATTGTTTCAGATCAGTTGAAACAAGAACAAAGCGGGACATTTCACCAAAATGCACGCTCTAGAAAATAAACCAAGTTGGTCGACATGAATTGCACATTTCTAGATCTGATGCATATTATTTAGATACTTGAATGCTTTTTAATGTTTGATAATTTTTATTCTTAATGTCGTGATTTCGTCACCACAATTACGAGGAGAAATGAGTAGTAAAGTAAAAGAAAACTTAATTCAATTCGACGAACTAAAAAAAACCAGTTTGATGTTCTCATTTAATTACATAAGTTGGTTTAAATGCTTCTTGACACACAATTCGATAGCATTTCGTGCTGAACGAAAGTTATGAAATAAGATTGATGAAATCTTTTTTAACAGTCACAATAATGGAACAATTTTTGAATGCGCTTTTCATGTTCATGTTCGTGTATGAAATTGCATCTTTGGTAATGGTAATTTCTGTCATCAATCGGAAAGTCAATATACCATTTCGTTATGTAGAGTCATTTAGACAGACAATGTTTAAGCCCATAAAACAACCAATTTTAAGTTTCGTCTTGAATGTTCATCATCGATTTTCTATACTGAAGTTAAATCAACCAGAACCCAATAAATATTTCCATACTAACATGCAATTTTTATCGCTAAATCATGAACCTTGTTTCATGTTTGCCGCTACTTTGTAACAATCAAGGAACAAAAATCTATTTGTACTATAAAATGGCAATTTGTCTACCGCTAATGTTTCATTGTATCTAAGCTCACACAAAAGGGAAGCCGAAAATCAACCTTGAAAAATGTTTATGACATTTTAATTGCTTTTATGTTAGCAGCGTCCATTTAGTTTCGTCTCATAATTTCATGAAATCGCCCTTGCAGATGTGCTTTGCTGATGTCTCAATTTGTGGTGGACGATTGCATTTATTAAACGCTTAATCCACGTTGGTGGCTTGCTATGATAAATTACAAACCATTTGATTGACTTAATGACGGGAATTTTGTTGAAATAAAATTTTTCATCTTCAACTTTTGCTCGCTTTTTCGATTTATTAAAGTTTTATTGTCATTTTGATAACATTTTATGTTTAATATCATAACGTTGTTGAACTTAATATCTTTGTTTGTCATCAAAGAATAAAATTGATTTGAAAACATTTATCTGAATGTAAATAAGTGGACTATACGAACAAAGTCTTAATTATGCGTAAAATAAGCAACTTGAGCTTGACGACAGTTGAAAACAATTTTTCTTTCTCATAATAAATTCCTTTAAATAGAAAATTATGGAAATTTCCCAAAGAATTTTCACCTTCTTATCGGATAAAAATTTTCTAAATGTTTAACAATAAAGTAAACTTTGGTTATTGCGTGTCTGATACGATGCCGGCCTCAATTTGCATGTCTGGTTGATTAATTTATCGAAAATTTTTGAACTGAAAATAGTTTATTATGTTCAGCATGAGTTGGTGGCCGTGTTTCCTTCACCTTTTGCACGAACTCTCGTGAACAGTGCAGAAAATTTCAAAGAAAAGTTTAACACTTTTTGGTACTTGAAAGGTGGTGAAAGACAAATTAACATTTAATTGCTTTTTATCATGGATAGGCGTCCGTATTTATTGGATAACTAATAAAACACTAACCCAAATCTGGATGATATTTAATGTAAACTGACACCAATCAAAAGTCTTGAAGATGGAATGGAGTGGCGAAAATAATTATAAAATCGATAAAATATTTATGTACAATAATTTTAACACAGTTTACAAAATTATCAGATATTTCTGTACAATCTTCAATAAATTTATCGTTTTCAGAATTTAATGAACGGTGAATAATGATGAATAATCTTCAATAAACATCAACATTTCTACAGTCTCACTGTTGAAAATAGCTCACAGAGAGATGAAGTTATGTAGATAAATAAAAAGCGAAATTTTGATCATGAACTTCGTCGAATCGATTAATTAACAGTATGAATCAATTTAGAATTTAAGGAATGTGGATTCAAATGTGCTTACTAGAAATGTTCTCCTGTTCTCTCCATGCTACTCTGGAATCAATCAAATCAATTTCACGCCGTCGATCGAAAGATTCTTTTTGGTACAAATGCTTGGCGCCATCGCGATTGAAGCGTGTTCATCATGGGATTTATGGAGATTGTAATTTTCTAAGGTATTTCCCATCAACAAATGAAATCACTGGAATGCAAAAAAAAAGTTAATTTGAAATTATCATGTTGTCGCTTAACAATCATTACATTTAATTTACGTTTCAGAATGAAAGATACATTTAAACGACATTGTATTGTGAAAAGCAGTCTATCATTAACTCACGTTTGCATTTTGCTTCACTTAATTGAAGTTAAAATGTTAATTTTTATTCTGTAATAAATAATAAGCGAGTATGAAAATCAACGGGCATTGAGTGATGTTTTCATAATTTGCTATAATCGTAATCATATTCCTTCATTGCTCGTGAATTTTATTTCTTCACGATGTAAACTTTCGTCCATCAATAAGAAAAATTCTTTTTTTTGAAAATATTCATGGAATGCGCAAACAGGATTTTCCGAATCATAAACAAAATTCCACTTAAGGCATTTCCAGATGCTTTTAAATAAGTTGATTTTATTCACCAATTTAAATATACTGGACACGTCACTTGCCGATAAACTCGTGGGTGTGAACAAGTAAACAATTTCTTGAAATCATTAAGTGGAAGTCTCATGAGAAAACTAGGTGGAAGTTGTTTAAGTGTGGCTTTGTAATAAACGGTGAAAAGTAGAGCAAAACCTAATCTTCTTGCATAGGGAACTTAATAAAATTTATAGTTTTCTTCAATTTAGCCACAGAAAGGAAGTGTGAACATGTTACGTCACATCGGAAATTTGTAATTTTAATATTTTTCACAAGTGTTTGATGCTGGAAGAAAATTATGTTGAAATGTTGTAACGAGATAGAAAATCTTTAAATATTCCATTAACATGACATCATCTAACATTGAACTTATCTACAGTAAGTCTAATAAAATATTCGACTAAATTTTCAAAACAAATTTGTTAGGAACAGCGAAAAGCATTTAAGTAAATTAAATTAGAGTGTATTAGAATTCATAAATTTTTAAGTGAACGTGAAGATAATTTTCATGTTTTTTTTTTCTTTCTTTCGGTTGTGAGAACTTGAAGGGAGATGAAATGTGATGCATTTACAAGCCTACGATGAATTTGAATTTGTTTTCTGAATTATGTTGTTTTTGTTTGTTGAAAATAGACGGAAAAGAAATTTTAAGATTTATGTCGATGATGCAATTAAGAGATTTCGTTGCTTAATTTTCAAGTCTGTCGATTGGTTTTTCTTTTATTTTCTCAACTGTTCTTCGGTTGATTAATTTCACTTAATTTGTTGATAATTTGACAACAGAATAAAACATTAAAATGATAAATTTCCACTTTCCATTTCCATGATTTATTTTGAAATGTCTCGATGTGCTGACTGCCACTAGGAAAAGCTTTTTCGTGGTGATTTTTTGCAATCCAGACGTCTAGGAAGACTACAACTTTATGGTTTTATAATGTTTTTAAAAACTTTTTTATTGATGCGGAAGAAGAGTGGAGAGATTCACTTTCACGAAGCTTTCCCTCTTGTTTTGGCAAAGGATTTGTTCTCGAAAAACAAAAGGAATTGAAACTTTTCTTGGCTGGAGATTAAAATTTTTTTTATGACATTTAAGAATTTTATTGGAAAGTCACTTTATATAGTCTGAAGACGATAAAGGAAAGAAAACTAACATGAGTAGGTGCAACGACCTATGATAGAATGATGGAAAATTTTCCACGCGGATGCTTTATCGCAGTTGTTTTCGTAAACATAAAAGACTTAAAATCCAACACTTTCTATTCGAAATTCAGTTGAATAACAGAAACCGCAGAAAAAGGATCGAATGGATGTCGGGACATGTTAGTTGATAGATGAACGAAACGAAGGGAAACCTAAAATAGTCGCATATTGAGCTCAATTTTTCCCCATTAACCACATGATATCCGATTGAATTACTCGCTGATGCTTTTCATGCGTATTTGCTTTTCAAACACAAAATTACGTTCTTAATGTTTTATGATGACTTTTCTTTGAACATGAAAATGACTTAATTTTCCATATGACTGAATTACACTCAGCAGATAAATTTTCCAGACATTGACACTGTTGGGACTTCGCTGAGAATTCTTGGCGGTGCACGTCAAGGACAAGATACCGACTGAGGTAAATTTTGTTGTCTCCGTTGGTAAATCGAAAGGGATAATTTGAATTTAATGGATTACGCAACAGAGAAACTTAATGATATCATTAACCACAGGGTTGATTCGTGTGGATCGAGGTCGAAAGGAAGAAAAAAAAGGAAAATTGATTTGTATAAGTGAAGAACGGAATGGTTGCGATGGTAATGGATTGTTGTGAGTCCTTTGCACATGGCGCGCTACATTGTCGGCTTTTTATACTGTAATTACATTTTCATCCAAGCTTTCATCAAAAGACTTTTTTCTTCTTCATCATCTGTTACAACATTTAGATATTTTCATGGTGATTTTATAAATGGATAACTTACTGTTACTAGCAATTATTTATTTGACAGAAAGAAATCATCGTTTTCGCCCACCCACACTCTACAATAATTTGTTACACTTTATTGCTGGTAAAGAATTTTTGTTTTGTTTCCGAAAAGTTCTCGGGAGGCTTGAAAATGGGCTTTAATATGAAGATATTTATGCAGAAACACATTTTACTCAAATTTTATTTGTTGATTTGAAAGAGTTCCAAAATAAGAAGTTGTTTGGTCGTGACAATTTATAACAAAAGACAAGCACAAGAAGAATGTTTTAACACGTTCATTTAAGGGGAAAAATGATGGCTACAAAACCAGATTTAAAAAACGATGAATGTCAAATTATTGAAAATTCATGGTAACATAACAAATATTAACATTTGCATGGTAGGCCCTGCCGGTAGTTGTTGGTGTGCGTTCCTTCATTATTTTATTTAAATTCAACGACCCCGAACGCTCTTGGAACATTATTACATCAAGTCCATCGATTTTTTTCCACATGAACCTGCTTTCTTATTTATTTCTCTTTTCCCCCTTTTCCATTAATCAACCCTCACTTCGAAAGTGAAGCACTTAAGTGACCGGCGAGAATGCTTTTGTTTCATTCCGTCAAGTGAGAACATGATGAAGCAGTTTGAATTTTATGCAACATTGCATTTGTTTCACTATCTTAACTTTTGCCTCTTCTTCCTATACATTAAAGCTTGTTCGATAGGACCACCGAAAAGCCATTGAAATTTAATTTGAAAATTTTATGCTTCGCGATTTCGAAAAAATCAAATTAAATTTTACATACACAGGTTTTTGTATTCATTTATTGTTTGAAAAATTATCGATTTGACACGGAAACTACTTATGCTTGTAATTTCAAACATTTCGAGCCATTTTAACGCTGAAGTTTTTGAAATTAATCATGTAATATTGAGAAGTTTCTGAACTGGAAATTTAATTTATCCAATTTATTGACTTTTTGATAAGCTGGTAGAATTTAAATTTTCCCGCTTAAAACCTTGCACAATTGTACAGTTTTCAAATGAAACGGCTGAAAATGAAACGTCATGCTTCGTGTTTTTCTTCTCTTCCTCAAGTTACTCAGTTTCTTCATTTGCCATATTTAATACTCAGTTTTATTCTGTGTACACGAAGAGACAGACGTGTAAATCGCGCAAAAAAAATAAATTTCGCGGTATTGTGATTATCAGTCCGTGAAAGAAGCAAAAGAAAACACGTGATACTTGTAAACTCAATTTTACATCGTGCAGAATAATTGTCAAAGAAGAAAATAAATTTTTGTGACAACAACAATGTAAGAAGTGAACTGTTACGAAAGAATTAATTGATTAAAAGTTCACAACGACTTAAAAAATTCTCCGATTTGCATGAAAATAAGAAAAAGTTGAATGAATGCAACAACAACAAACCGCGAGTAAAAAAGAGAAAATTTCGCTACATCGCGAAAAATAAAACCGAAGTGATCGAACACACAACAAGAAACAACAAAAGTATAAGAAAGGTATAACAATATTGCTGTATTAACATTTCTTATGCAATTCCGCTTGTGATAATCGAGCGCTTCAAAACTGTGATCCGTTGGTTCTTTCGCTTCGCACCAGAATCTTTGAAGACTTTAAGAAGATCTTAAAATAATTCACCGCTACATGAATTGAAAATGCTCCAAAAAGATTTCTTTTCCATATTTCTTACGTCTTCAACTTGTCTTAAGACAAAAACAAACAAAAAAAAGACTTTAATGAGGAAAAATTAATTACAGTTAATTGTATGGAATTGTAGAAATCTCTACTTACTCACGAAAGAGCATCGAATGAATGAAGAAGTGAAATGATAAATAAGTAACGTAACCAAGCGGCTTCAATTAGTAGAAAATGCGCAAGCTTCGAGCATCTGTAAACTGCTACCTACCATCGATAATATAATGATTTTAATATATTTTTTCTTCATCTTTCATTTTATTGATCCGCGAAAAATCGCAAATTAATTTCAAATCGAAACAGCTCGAATTTAAATGTTTAGCGAGTCTTCTTGATTAATTTAAAATGAACTGTTTGATCAATTCTGTCTTCTCTTTTCAGGTTAAACGATCAACACTAACGTGCGGTGATTTACGGGAAATAAGAAAAAAACTCGTGAAGAAAGCTTGAAAGAAGATGTTAAATAAAAATAAGATTAATGAAAATGAGCATGACGAGCAAAACCGAAAGGTCGGTCCAGCAGTGCATGAATTAGTGGAGCTCATAATTGAATAAAAAGAAATAAAATAAATAGAAGCAAAAATTGATCTCAATAAAAGAAAAGGAATTGATAAAGTAATTGAGCGGAAAGAAGAAAAAAGAAATTAAATGAAAGTTCAGTGAAAATCAAAAATATAAAAATTTGAATTAAAAAGAAAATTTTAAAATGATTCATGAAAATTATTTAACGACATGTAACCATCTCAATATGATCAACATAATGGTGACATCACTAACAAACGGATTTTTAAAGTTCCTGACCAGATTTTCGGGTGAGTTTTTATTCTTAATCATTGAGAAACGTCTCATAAACTTCAAAAGCGTTTAATGTCGATTACCAACCATCTAAATCTTGATACGAATTCTTCTTTGTTGAAGCTTATGATGATCATGTTGTATGATAGTTTTATGGAACTAATTTAATTGTTGTTTAGTTTTTATATTTCCCTTGTTTTTTTCTTCCATTCCCTTAACGATCAAACAAATAAAAATAACAAAATAAGTAAACAATGGACACATTAAATGGGATCAAGAGGATGGAACAGAAAACTAAAATCTTTCTTGGTTTAATCTCTTAATTTAATTTTGGTTGTTGAGGCAAATGATTCTGGAATTATTGTGCGTTAAATCTTGAGAAGAAGAAAGATGAAACGAAAGTTCATCATCCTGGAAAATCGAATAAGATTAGGAAGATTTAGATGATTGACCATATCGAGTTGTTTGTGATTCCAAATTGTCATTTACCCATCTCGATTAACTTTACAAGTGAACTTTTAAGTTGAGAAATTTCTCATGAGTCATCTTTGTGTCGGCAAGGGTTGATTTTAAGTGCTTTTCCTAAATATCTTCCAACCCTCTTTAAGATAATTGCACAACATTCTTCGAACATTTCTCACGAGTAAAACGAAGCCAAGAAAGCAATTAAGAAAGTCAATCGAGCCCTTCACTTCGAGTGTTGTTTCTGATAGATTTTCACATTTTAATTCAATTTGAATTTTCCACTCAAATTCACAAAATTTTGGTTAATTACTTTCAAGTATCTGATAAGTTTCACGTTGCAATGGAAGACAACGAAAGGGTGAAACTTTGTTGACCTCACGCCTTCATGACTCATGCGAACGATGAATTTCCATCATGTTGAGAACTCTCACAGAACTCAGTTTCGGAAGTTAATAAATTTAAGGTTCCTGTTCTTCGTTGATTCTTATCAACGACATGTTGCGAACATGCCACGACNCATTATTTCTGTCTTCTTGTGATCTTTGGAAGCGATTGTAAATTAATGTGTGAGTAATGGTGAAAAAATATTCTTTTTTATTTCAAATGTCTCTTGTATGAAATCAGAACTAAGACTGAGACTGAAAGAATTCTTTTTATTTAAATAGAATGATTATCTCAGGAATTATCTGTCACTCTCTCGTTTCATGCGTCTTATCGCTCAAAATATTTGCTCAATATTCAAAAATCATTACTGATTAACTTCTTCGAAAGAAAAAATTAAAACTTTCAATGGAAATCACAAGTTTTGTAAACACATTTTGAAAATTTATTAAATATCAAACATCTACAGCCTGTAGATCATTCTTCAAATTTAAAAATCGAATATTTCGTGAACCATCACACATAAGAGCGCAATTCAAATTTAAGTTCTGTTTTCGGTATTAAATGCGTCAGCATTATGTTACCCTTCAGTAAGACTATGACAAAATTGTCAATATTATCAGATTTCGAAATGTTTTGTCTTAGTATAAGGTAAGGTTAATATTTTATTCTTCAGTGATACAAGCAGACATCTTGTGGAAGAAGATAATGATTTAAAATGTGGTAATAAGATACTGGAAACATCATGTGGACTCGTCAACATAGTTCGGGATTATTGTTTTACTTTATTCAGAAAGGTCAATCTATTTACATATATAAATTAAAAAACTTCAGAGCTATACAAATGTTTCTGAAAGCTGTTGTAGAGTTTTATTTTATCCGAGTTTAAATCAATTGAAAATTGGAATTTTCTCATTATTTCTAAGAGCATTTAAAACCTATTTTCATTTTTATTTATTTCATTTACTTTTGATATCTCCTCATTTTTCCATTTTTTTCTTGAGAGGTGTATTAGACACTTAGAAAAATTTGTAACACGCGAAACATAAAATCAACTGACATGTGCGAGTTTGATGCAAATTTAGGTTTGTTATTTCTTTATCATCTTCAGAAATGTGAAATTCACCAATGAATGGAAAAGCTCAACGAAAGACATGACGAGAAACCGTTCATGATGTCATGCAAATATTTATAAACCTTCCTATGTTACAATTGTCTTCAGATTTTCATAATGAACACATAAAATTGACCTTGAACCAAGAAATAAAGTAGATAGTTAAATGTTAAAAAAAATAATCAAATGATATTTGTATTCGTTCGTATAAACATCTAATTTGAAAAGTTTAACAGCTATTTTATATTTCAGAATTCATATATCTACTACCTTCATGAATACTATTCACATGTTACTTCTAATTTGCAAAACAAATTTTATATTCTTGAGCATGAAACTCGTGGAAAAGTCATAAAAGCTAAAACACATTGAATTATTAATTAGATTTTTTATGTTCCCTAAATCCCTTGTTTTTTTTCTCATTCCCCTGACGACCAAACAAATAAAAATAACAAAATAAGTAAACAATGGACACATTAAATGGGATCAAGAGGATGGAACAGAAAACTAAAATCTTTCTTGGTTTAATCTCTTAATTTAATTTTGGTTGTTGAGGCAAATGATTCTGGAATAATTGTGCGTTAAATCTTGAGAAGAAGAGAGAAGAAGAAAGATGAAACGAAAGTTCACCATCCTGGAAAATCGAATAAGATTAGGAAGATTTAGATGATTGACCATATCGAGTTGTTTGTGATTCCAAATTGTCATTTACCCATCTCGATTAACTTTACAAGTGAACTTTTAAGTTGAGAAATTTCTCATGAGTCATCTTTGTGTCGGCAAGGGTTGATTTTAAGTGCTTTTCCTAAATATCTTCCAACCCTCTTTAAGATAATTGCACAACATTCTTCGAACATTTCTCACGAGTAAAACGAAGCCAAGAAAGCAATTAAGAAAGTCAATCGAGCCCTTCACTTCGAGTGTTGTTTCTGATAGATTTTCACATTTTAATTCAATTTGAATTTTCCACTCAAATTCACAAAATTTTGGTTAATTACTTTCAAGTATCTGATAAGTTTCACGTTGCAATGGAAGACAACGAAAGGGTGAAACTTTGTTGACCTCACGCCTTCATGACTCATGCGAACGATGAATTTCCATCATGTTGAGAACTCTCACAGAACTCAGTTTCGGAAGTTAATAAATTTAAGGTTCCTGTTCTTCGTTGATTCTTATCACAACTCACAGACATGTTGCGAACATGCCACGACATCAGAGTCTCGACTTAAATTTATTTCCTTCTCTCCTTCAACTTCAACGTTCCCTGCAATGAATTCGGTGCCGGAAAATCGATAAAATTATGTTTTCCCTCGTCCATGTTTCCAGATTTTCCTTTGAGTTGCATTTTCTTCCACTCTTTTTGTTTATTCTTCCTTTTGAAGAAGTGAGTCGACTACTCGTGTTTCCATGCGCCTTACAAACACATAAAATTTTATTACTTCACTTCACTAGATCATTACGCGATGTCGGCGTTAAAATATTTCGCGAAATGTGACCATTTGGCATTTCGCATAATGTTAATTAGATTTACTTCATGTCTACTTTTCCAGCTTTAATGTTCCATAAGTGGATCATCATTAATAATTATTTTCCAACAACTTCCTGATTGTCAACAAACATCGATCGTCATTGCGTGAGAAGGAATGAAAAATGGTTCCGAAGAAAAGAAATCAAATTGACGAAGATAAATCTTAACACGGAGAAATTTAATATTTTTCTTGAATTAATAATTCGACTAGAAACAGGGAAAGAAGGAAGCTGGAAAACGAGGGTTGGTTGACGTTTCACCAAAATTTAAATTCATTTATCGTGCTGACTTGACTTCCATCGAATAATTCAAGAAGGGCTGAGTGAAGGTTGATTCCATCCACCAGCAAACAAAAGCAACCAACTCGCGATATCATCTTTGCCGGAAAACGTTGAGATGAAGAAAATATTTTCTTAAAAAATACTTCAGAAAGTTTTTGTTGTTGTTTCGCCTCTGTCGCGTCTTTTTGGATCAACAATTGCTTGAATTAAGAGATGAAGGAAACGAAGATTTAAAAATTTCCAAAATAAATTGAAGCGAATGGGAAACGTCGAACAAAATGTACAAAGACATGCAAATCGGTTGTCAGTCGCAGAGCAATTTCTCACCTTCTTTCTTTCTTCTTTAACATTGAAACCATTTAATTAAGTTAAAATCACTTTCCACTAAAGGAGAGGCGCACAAACACCGAAACGAAGTTCTTCACTTTTAATTGCTTGTTTGCCTACACTTCGAAGTCGAACTGATAACGACATGAACGTGAATCACATCACTGACGAATGAATTCTTTGTGCATAGATTTCTTCAAAAGTTGCTTATCATAATGCGCGATGATTGTCGATCTCTTGCGCAAGTTCATTTCCTTAAACACTTTGAAAGATTCAAAGTAAACTTGACATGAATAATGAAATTTGTTTTATTACACATCGTCGAGCAGTGCTGGTTGTGCGTGTGCGACTCACCTAAACTCGTTGCTTTTGCTTCTGCTTCTATCCAACTTCCAAGGTGGTTCTGGTTAATGAAATTCACAATTTGGTTCTATCGCGATGTGTTTCTCTCCTTCCTTTGGTGGTCTGGAATCATTCAACATCACGCGGACCGCTGTCTGGTGTGTCGATGTTCATAAAAAACTTCCACCCGCGCACAAATCGCTTCCCGAATGGTTTTTTCCACTTCTGCGAATTCGTTGAATTGTCGATTTCTTCTGTTTTGATATTTTCTGGTGGCATTCAAATCAAAACTGCTGTTGCTCGACCGACCATACGAATATTTCCAATCTTTTATGGTAAAGTCAAGATTTGTAACCACGAAATATCAAACAAATGACGACGAGTGCTGCTGTTGCTGTTGCCAGTTAAATAGTTGAGAGCATAAATGCGCTGAAATTCTCAACTCCCTTCAGTTTCATTTCATTGTGTAAAGCATTGAATCGACTGTTGTCGTAAATAGCAAATGAGAAAAGGGGAAGCCAGTCTTTGACTTGAAGCTTGATGATGGAAACGAAATTAAAAGTTTAATAATTGAATAAAATTCACGCTGTGACAAAACAATACACAAACTCAATTGCTTCTACTTCTGCCGTCGAGCAGCAAACCGACACCGTTGTCGGGACTCTTTCGATTCCATTCTTCAATTTAGAAGAAATATTTTTGAAGAAAATCTAATTCTTCTTTTTATTCCTTCGCCATCCATTGTCTTAGATTCATTAGATTGAAATAAAAATTGGTTATGGTTTTGTTCGGTTCTTTGAACTTTCACGTTCCGCTTGTTTCGATGAAATTCTTACCAACCCAAGTGGTGACTTGTTGTTACTTCTTCAATGTGTCGCACTTTACTTCATGTTTTGAGAAAATTTGTGTCGTGAAAAACGTTGCTGGTCGATGGGAAAATCTTTAAATCTTCAATTGTTCTACAACAAATTACTGTGGACGAGGAGAAAGAAGAAACGAAGCAGCGCAAGTTTGCGTTAATAACAGCACAGAATCTATCACAATTACAGTTGACGACGACATGGAATGAAATTGTTGAATGTTTAGATATGAAGAAGAAGGAAAAATTTGGGGAATTTAAAACAACTTGGAGATGTTGTTTGTACAAATGTTTCTTGTGTCTTGTCTGGAGCGAAGTTGTTAAATAGTTAATGAAGCGAATTCGATTGTGGCGAGAAACTTTGGGTTTTTGGTTCTTGGGAACACAATTTGAGAAGGTTCATTGTCGTTGTGATTAAAAGCTGTTGAAACATTTGCTTAAGCAAACTCAAATGCCATCAACTATTTATTCAAATGAATCATTTTTCGAATAGTTAAGTTATGGGTCGAAGGGAGAACTCGAAACTTAGAACAGAAATGTGGCGGTGGAACAAGAAGAAATTTATTGTTTACCTCAAATGGAATGTGATAAGATAACGAACGACGCGAGGCAAGCGACAGGTCCGTGGGAAAGAAGTTTCAATTGTTTTAAACTTCATAAGTCGGCGATCATGCAGAGATTAAATAAAGAATTTTATGCAATTCCGAATCGATTGAGTTTCACTTCATTCAGCATCAGTTGATGAATAATCCGAGACGATGTTGAGATTTATTTGATCAACAAAGTTTCGTGTTCGTTTCATCATCACAACTTTGTTTGCGAACGTTTCATTGACACTTTGAATGAAGTGAATGCTGGTAGTGCACCAAAGATGAACGCGAGATGAACACAAACAAAAGATGAAAGGAAGGAAGGAAAGTTCTTCCTTGGGAAAAGATTTCAATGTCGCGATAAAAGTTCCATAACGAGATAACTTCATTAAGTCTTTCTGCTTGTCTCTGTTGTCATTCTTCATCTTTGAATGATCGTCGCAAGCCATCATTTGATTGTGACTGAGTTGAGCTCGACAATGATGTTCGATGTAGGATGTGATTAATTATCTCACTTAAATCTTCTTAAATGCCGAATGAAGAAACGACAAACGCACATTCGTACGTGCAAATGTGGTTTGGGCAACGAGAAATAAATGAACATCGCATGGCGGAGGATTTTCGTCATCATAAACGGGAAATATTCAATTGGCACAGAAACGAGCTCGAGCTTCTTAATTCTTTTGTTTATCGTTGATTTACAACAAGTCGCTAGCTAAGAAACGTCTCAAGTGCTGTTCACATTTGCTGGGATGATAAAAATTTCTATTCGAGTTGATTACATTAATCCACGACACGTAAGTTCGCAGTTTTTTCACTTTTCTTCATAACAAATTCCTTCCGCTGATGTCATGCAATGGCTCGTGTGCTTCGTTCGTTCATCGACAACTACGACGATTGTGAAACATTTTCAGACGAGAAATTTTGTTTGACATTCTTTTCGATCTCGAGCGAGAAAATGCAAAGAATTTTCAATGTCATCAACTGGAGGAATTCATCCGCTTCTCGTCTTTACTCCACACTGCAGTAGACGTTGATGAATGATTGCATTGATTCAGTGAGTTCCATTCAATTGGATAATCGTCTTATCTATGAGGTTTGTGCATTGTGCAACGAGCAGAGATTTGAATTGGGTCGAATGAATGAAAATTAATCAAATCATCGCATGATGATCTCATTTGATGAAGCTTCTGCCAATTCTGTTGTAGATTGAAGGCAAACGTTACACCTGACATGAACGAAGGATGAAAACAAAATCGCTGATAATCACCACAAGATCTGCTGCGATTGAAGACTGAAGAAGCCAAATTTGGCATGAAATGCAATTAAATTGTGTCAGGAATTTGAATCTTTGAAGTTGATTTGATTCTCGAATTAAACTTCTTTTCTTCTTCATCAATACAAGCGACGACTTTGATGCAAAATCATTTAAATTTCACATCTCTCAAGATCTCTTCATTGACTTAATGAGATTGTCATAAATACTTACGCGGATCTTATTTTTTATTAGCTGGGAAGTTGGAATTGAAGTTGTAATTTGAGTTAAACATGAGAATGGAATTCTTGTGCAAGAATAGAATCGAAGACAAGAGCAAAGAAGCAGAAAGCGGGCAAATCTTTTGTTTCCTAACAAATTCTTTATCAGAAGCAAGAAGCAGAGTGGAGAAAGAATTTAAGCGCGGTCGAGTGCCGACACAACAAGTGAACATAAATTTGTTCGTTTATGTGAATTCTGCAATTTGCAAGTTGTAACTAAATAGAACGAAGAGAAGGAAAACAAACATGAAAATGTGAATCAAGCGAGGGAAAATGAAAGACATTTCAGTTCTCCGTTCTCTCTCATTTAATGTGCACCAGTTGTGGCATTCAACTGCCATTTTTCACGGTCACGTTTCCAACTGCATTTTATCTCCAACAAACAAACAAACAAATCGCAGACTGCGACAACGATCGATGGCAACGATGGTGGAAAGAAAGAATAAAAGTCACAAGAATGAGAGAAACAATAAATTGCTGTCTTGGAATCCTTTCTCAAACATGAACGTGCCTTTCACAACTACTTGGATCTTCGTTGGAAATTTGTGTTTCGATTTATTACAATTTCAGACGATGAGGGTGTGAAAATTGCTTTTCTCGCTTTAAAAAATCTTCTCATTTTTTGTTTCTTCCTTCATCGAAGATTTGGAATTGTTTCCAGTTAAAAAATCATCACGTTCACTGCATTGTTCCGCTCCGCACTGAGATTATCCTTGTTGGAAGTAAAAAGTTAGAAGGAAAACGACAGAAAGAAGAAAAATATTTTCGTGAGAACCAAAATATTTATGCTAATGAGTCAGTTCATGTTGATGCATTTTATGGTGCACTTGTCAGTTATTCGGACAACACAAAACTTTCCCAGCAACTTTTTTCTTACCTGCAACTTGCAGATGATTTAAATTTCATAAACATTCGGAAATAATATTTTTAAATGCAAATTTCGACCGCAATGAATGCAAAAACTTTTTAGATTTTCTTCGTCGTTTTGTTTATGATGATTGACTTGCATTTTGTTGTGTGTTGACAGTCAATTGGCATAATCTAATGAAGGTTGTGATGGGAATGGGAGGAAGATCTCAAGATCATCGCCAATAAATTTGACATTGATCATCAATCGACTTCTGATGTCGTTGGAAGTTCAGACTTTCCGATGATGTCTTTCAGCCATTCAGGAACTTCACGTCCGGGAATTTCTATCATTGATCTTCCGTTTCCATCTTTCAAGAAATATTCCTAGAAGTCTCGAAGGTGGATGACACAGTGACTGGAACTACGTGATTCTCATAAATTCATTTTATTTAATTTGGTCTTCGTTGTCGGTGCTCTTGTTCATTAACCAAACTTGAATTCTTTTCTTTCTCGTTCTTAATGCTTCATTCTCGGTTCTTGTTGAGTGCAGAAAGCATTTCAACTGTTCACTGACTGTAAAAACATTTCCATGCCTATCTTTCTCACTTTACTTGTGCGCAAGTGTTCAGTTACAGGTGCGATTTCAATCCATAAAATGTAATTATTATTTTATTCTTTATAATTGGAAAAGCTTCATCGAATCCGTCACTTTCATGAGTTATAACGAATCTAAATGCCTCAGTTACATGTGGAAGTGACGTTATTTGTTGATTCGTTGTGCTGATAGAAATGTAAAGAAAAAGCCATAAGACTTTAACTTCTCGTTATGTTTGTTCTTGAAATTCAATAACTTCAACTATAAAAATTTGAATGAGAATTTTAGAAGAAGCTCTAAAAATCCTTTTGTCTACAACAAGCATTCTTTCTCGGTAGTTTATGTGTTTCGATATCAAAGAAATAAAAAGAAGAACAGGTATCCTAACATTCAATGAAAAATCCAACGATGAGCTTAAGAAAGCGTGCGCAACAGACTAAATCGCGCTGCTGAAAATCCCGTTGTCTTCATTCAATGGTGGATATTTTTTTTGTTGCTTTTCCACATCCAACTTTAGTCTTTTTGGCTTCTTCTTCGCTCGTGTTATCATTGTTTTCATCGCAACATCAATTTTTCTTCAAGTTGAATATAAGTAAAAAAAAAGTTTCAAAATGTTAAAAATGCAATTTTACAAGTTTTATGATTTTCATATTTTTGGGAGTTGTTTGAATGTAATGTAACGAGATTTGATTGTCTTCTTCATAATTCAAAACACTTTAATGAATCATAAAAGTAGAGATATTGATGTGACAAACTTTTGTACACCTCCCGTCATTCCAAAACGTTTTTGTAGCATAATTTTACTACATTTTGTTATTGTTAGATGATTCTCCGTTCGAATAGCTTCGCTTATTTTTTCGGTTCAGTTAGTTTTCTCGTCTTCCACCTCACCTTGTTCACCTGTTTGGCTTTAAACTTCAAAAACAATAAAAAAAAATTTTATGCGAAAATGTTTGCAAAGAGAGAGAATCAACCAGCATTAAAAATTCCTTTGCATTTTAATTCTTTTTTCTGCATTTCTCTCCGACTTTACTTGTTTTATTTTATGTCTCTTTTTACCCTCATGTCGTTATGCAATTTTTTTAACGAAGTCGAATGATTGATTTGTTTGACCAAAGAATGAAAATGATTCGCTTTTCCTTTCGGTTGAATTTACATTTTGAGAAATTGGTTAAAAATGTTATTTGATTTCAAATGCCGCTTTTGATATGTAAAACCACAAAGAATCTTTATGTTAATTTTTTTTTTCTTTTTTTGCTTATTTTTCTTTTCAGGGAGAAGACGAGTATCAAAGCGACGTTATTTAGAAAGAAGCCACAGCCTGAAGAGTGAATCAAGTCATTACAATAACAATTGTAGATTAAGCTTAGTAGTTCCAGTTACTCTCTTGCTAATATTAAGTACAATATTCAACGTGACAGGTAAGTGATTCAATGTTCTTTCAATTCTAAACACTTCTTCGACTTCTTCGTTTGTCTGATGTCTTGACAATAAAAAATATTCTCCGTTTTACTGTCGTAAATAAGCAAGTATTGTTAATGGTGGTAAAAGCAGAAAACAAAATCAAATAATCGAACAATATGACGAGCTTCATTAAACATTTCGATCACATTTATTGCTGCTGTTCTCAGTAAATGTCAGTGAAGTTAGAGGGAGAAGGAAACTTTTCTCCACCATGTCGAGTAAATAACCGAAACAAATCGAAAAGAAATAACGTGCAGCTGCCGCATTTCTTTTTATTTTTATTTTCCTCTTCGATGCTTTTTTATATTTTGATTTCAATTTGAAAAGAAATTTTATCGCGAAAAGCCGCAAAACAAGACGAAAAGCTGTCTTTGGTCGTAAATTATTGATGCGCGATGTGTTGCAACTTGCAACTTATATAGTTTAATTTTATATTATCTCGAGGCAGTTACACGACTTAGTAAGCAACAAGCATGAGATGTGCTTACATTCTCAACGTCTCGTGCTTGTAATTAAACCTGCAATGCATTATAATCATCAACGATAACTCGTTCAACGACATTTCTTCTATTTATTGCAATCAATCTTGAAGCGAACATTCTCAATCATCTTTTTATTGATCATCGATTGTGGTGATTGCTCGTGTCACGTTATCGTCACTTAATTACGCTCAAAACGAGTGAAGAGATGTCAAGCAAGAGTCTTTAATTATTTTCCATTCTCTCCATCTTCAGGTGGCTTTCATCTCCATAATGAAATTTGATACAAAATAATGAAACAATTTAAGGCTCGTGAGCTGCTTTTGAGGATTGAATTCAAACAAATGTGTTCGTTCTAGTGTTTGCCATACGGTTTTCATCTTTCCACATCATATTGCAGCGTGTTTATTGTTATTGCCTTTCTCTCTACCATTCAGAAGCCTAATAATCCTCAATTTCTATGCACAAAATTGTTCTCTTCTGTTGTTCTCTTCCTTCAGCCTTCCTTCTGTTGATTACAATCTTCGATCTTCGAAGTTTTCGAATCAAGAATCATAAATAAATAAGTAAACGAAGGCAAAAGACTAAAGTAGGCGGATTGATTCGTGTTGTTGTTAATGCTACCATATGTTGCTGATAATCTTCATCATCTCGTCTGCATTCGATTGTCGAACAACCCTTAAAGCTTCTTTAATGTCAAAGGCTGCATGAAATGTCCATTGTCGAGAGTCTGAACTGTTAATTGCTTCGAACTTAGCGACACCAACAAACATCCATCGACTACAAAACAGCAGCAAAAAAGTGTGAAGATTAAGAACGAGCACAAAAAATGATGAAAACGAATCGAGACGTGCGTGAGAGCAGATGTCATGACAAATAAATTTCAAGTTGAATCTCTTTAAAGAGATTTATTTATCACGTTACGCCTTTAATGAGATTACATCATCATTGGATCATCTTTCATTTCTTTCATTCTTTCGTCCATTAACAAGCGATCATCACACAAATTGTTCTTCTTATTCGAAACTTTCGTTCGTGGATTATGAAGCTGAAGTGAGTTAAGTGAAGTTGCGACTTCTGGTCGACTACCTGCGCTTCTGTTGCAGCCGCGATGCTTCGTAATTATTTGAAATTCATTTGGGATCATTTTTATGCTGCCACATCGCATTAAATGTTTTCGGATGCCACGCACCGCAACACATTTTAGGAAGAAATTTCAAATTTCTCTTTGATGATAACATCTGGAGAGTACGAATTTTTTCCTCGATAAATCGACGAGAATAACAACAAACGGAACAAGTCATGATGTCGTCTGATGTCTGNAGAATTTTTTATATCAAGAGATATTATTTCCATTTTATGTTAAACATAAACATTAAACATTGAAAATTATTCCCAATTGAAAATTCTCCCAAGCCCTGAACTTAAGTATTTCATAATTTTCCTAATTATACAAAAACAAAAAAAAGAAAAAAATTATTAATTTATTTATTTTTTTAAAGAACATGAACGATTATTGAATGCATCGCAAACGATGCGCATCAGAATTGATAGTGCTGAAGGAAATACCGTTGTGTCTCGTAACGATTTATCTCTTTATGCTTTTTCTCTCACATTAAAGTTGAGGCAAAAACCATTAAACCGCTTAACTTGTAAACTTTTTTTTTCATGATCGAGAATCTCGTGTCTGTTGTGTAAAACTGAGAATTTAATTTTGAATAAAAATGCAATTTAGATAAATGCGGTTTTCTTATAATCTCTTGATAAACATCATGATTTAGTTGACAAGGCCGACCATTCAATCGATTTGAACTGCAAACATAACAATCGTTCCATCTTATTCAGACAAGACTTTCTTGTCAGCCTATTTCTTCGTATCATTCTCTTTTTTCCAGCTTTTACAATTATTTATCGTTCTTCGGCTTGTTCCTTTTTCTCGGTTCAGTTATTTTCGCTGTTCACCTGCTCGAGTTTCATTTTCTGGTTTTGCAAAAAATTCTTTGCCATTTTTCAAAGACAGAATAAATTATTTTTAAAGTCAAAACAACTGTGTGTTGTCTGGTTAGAGCTTAAGACAAGCTAAGCTGACAATATTGGCTTTGTTTGCAATGGGAATTGGTAGACAAGATGACGCTTAGTTATATAATTATAAATATTGCAGTGTAAATAAAGAAACTAAGATGCTTTACTGGAAAATAAATAAAATTTTATTCAGAAAGTCAAGCAAACCTTCTTTGGCATACCTCAAAGCTTAACAATGTTGTCCAAGTCGAACTTATCATAGCTGAGGTAGTTGTACGACTTAGTAAGCAACAAGCATGAGATGTGCTTACATTCTCAACGTCTCGTGCTTGTAATTAAACCTGCAATGCATTATAATCATCAACGATAACTCGTTCAACGACATTTCTTCTATTCATTGCAATCAATCTTGAAGCGAACATTCTCAATCATCTTTTTATTGATCATCGATTGTGGTGATTGCTCGTGTCACGTTATCGTCACTTAATTACGCTCAAAACGAGTGAAGAAATGTCAAGCAGCAAGAGTCTTTAATTATTTTCCATTCCTTCCATCTTCAGGTGGCTTCCATCTCCATAATGAAATTTGATACAAAATAATGAAACAATTTAAGGCTCGTGAGCTGCTTTTGAGGATTGAATTCAAACAAATGTGTTCGTTCTTGTGTTTGCCATACGGTTTTCATCTTTCCACATCATATTGCAGCGTGTTTATTGTTATTGCCTTTCTCTCTACCATTCAGAAGCCTAATAATCCTCAATTTCTATGCACAAAATTGTTCTCTTCTGTTGTTCTCTTCCTTCAGCCTTCCTTCTGTTGATTACAATCTTCGATCTTCGAAGTTTTCGAATCAAGAATCATAAATAAATAAGTAAACGAAGGCAAAAGACTAAAGTAGGCGGATTGATTCGTGTTGTTGTTAATGCTACCATGTGTTGCTGATAATCTTCATCATCTCGTCTGCATTCGATTGTCGAACAACCCTTAAAGCTTCTTTAATGTCAAAGGCTGCATGAAATGTCCATTGTCGAGAGTCTGAACTGTTAATTGCTTCGAACTTAGCGACACCAACAAACATCCATCGACTACAAAACAGCAGCAAAAAAGTGTGAAGATTAAGAACGAGCACAAAAAATGATGAAAACGAATCGAGACGTGCGTGAGAGCAGATGTCATGACAAATAAATTTCAAGTTGAATCTCTTTAAAGAGATTTATTTATCACGTTACGCCTTTAATGAGATTACATCATCATTGGATCATCTTTCATTTCTTTCATTCTTTCGTCCATTAACAAGCGATCATCACACAAATTGTTCTTCTCATTGGAAACTTTCGTTCGTGGATTATGAAGCTGAAGCGAGTTAAGTGAAGTTGCGACTTCTGGTCGACTACCTGCGCTTCTGTTGCAGCCGCGATGCTTCGTAATTATTTGAAATTCATTTGGGATCATTTTTATGCTGCCACATCGCATTAAATGTTTTCGGATGCCACGCACCGCAACACATTTTAGGAAGAAATTTCAAATTTCTCTTTGATGATAACATCTGGAGAGTACGAATTTTTTCCTCGATAAATCGACGAGAATAACAACAAACGGAACAAGTCATGATGTCGTCTGATGTCTGAAAAATTGGAAAATAAATATTTCAAGCTTAACACATTTCTCGATTTGGAAGGAGAAACAGTTTGAAGATCGAAAGCGATGTGAAAGATGCGAATGAAGTGACGCCAGTTGGTGGTAATTTGAGAAGCGACTTGGCACACGATCATCAACTTAGACCTTTGTTTGTCCTTTTACGAACTTTAAGAAGAACTTACGAACGAGGAAAGAAATTGAAATAGAATCGCCAAACAGTTGTGACCTAGAATTCCTAGCGATTCTCCGAAAACATGTCGCAACATGAAGCAACGCGATCCACTCTCAGTTTCTCTCTTTACGTCTCCCACTGCACACGACTCGTGAACAGAAAAGATTAAGAAAGAAGGAAGAAGACGGAAGAAGAAAAATATTTGAAGATTTCATTAAGAATTCTCTGTGAGTGGCGAAAAAGAATGAAACGAAACTGCAGCCGTCTTCTTTTGTCAACATTTTCCGTTCACCGGAAACACGCCAACAAACAACAGCAAACACGAATTATTTATGTGTGTAGAAAGAAGAACATTATGGACGAATGGAATGGAAAGAAAATTGAAATCTGAATCAATATTTGGAGATTTCTGTTCTCTTTACTCTCACTCGACACAGTCGACGTGATGCTGTTCGGTCATGTTGGCACACGTGCGACGACGATCTCGCCCAGACTCACGGTGTTGATGATGACTCATCATCGTCGTCAATCGCGGATCTCCATGTGTTGCTGCAGAACTCGTTTTCGTGTTTGTTTGGGTGCTTTGCGCTTCTTTGATTTTGTTTTTTATTTTATTTTGCTATCGTCGTCTTCTTTCCGTCTTTTCCTAATTTCTTTTCTGGAACCTCCACCAAACATCGTCATTTAAATCTTTTGCATTTATGTGGCAACATTTGTTGTTTATGCACCACACAAAACGACTACGAAGGAGATGAGAAAGTGTGCAGGTTTGAAGTTCTTCCATTCATCGACAACGACTGGAACCAGTTTCTTATGTAACAACAATAATAATTGTTGGCTTATTGAGATTATGTGATGCATGTTTAATGCTGCATTGTATTTAATGTAAAGAAACGAGAAACGAGACTGAGAGAAGATTTTCATGCATGCTTGACATGGTTGAAAGTCAAACCTTCATTTCGGTGCTGTTTTGATGTTGATCGTCAGCAATTGATTGGAAAATTTAAAGTCAAATCGACTCATAATTGAATGTTTCACTTGAAATCTCATCGAGTTCACCGCTTTTGGTTTCACACACTTAACAAGAATTTCTTTTCACGGGAGATTTGTCATCGTCGATAAAGAAATTTGCAAGTTTTCAGTGCTTGACGCATTCCTGCGTTGCACAAGTTCAGCGACGTGTTGTTGATTCGATGCGATGATTAACAATTAAAAAATTTGTTCAACTGCCTTGCACAACTGTGAATGAAATCTTTACGCTAAGCATTGCAGACGATCAGACCAACTCCGTTGACGCTTCTGTTTGTTTCTTTCAATAATCGTCGAGAGCTCGCCCAACATTGTTAAATAATCCGATTGCGAATTAAGTTAATTAATTATGTGATTAATTAAGAGCTAAACAAGGAGCTGATTTGTGTTTATAAAACGATTTCTGATTTGTTGGACGAATGATTCGATGGAAGCGAATTGGAAAATCCCCAAAAATATTTCAGCGAGAGAAAAAAGAAATTAATTAAGTTCCAATTGTGAAAATCTCATTTCACTCGGCACTTCGATACTTAATTTGTAATTTGAAGATTGATCGACTTGTTAATCGATGTTTAGATTCGAATGTGTCTGCATGATTTCGCATAAAAAATTATTTCCTTGAACGCTTCACAGAATCGAAAACGAGACAGAGGCGAAGCAATCGAAATCTTCTTCTTTCTTTCAATGTTGCTGTTTAAGCGCCTCCGCTCAATTTAATTTATGGAGTCTGCATTGAATCCTACGGGGTTTATTGTAGTTATGGATTTTAAAATACAATAAAATAAAATAAAAATGTGTGAAGAATTGGGCGCCGAAAGAAAAACAAGCGGCGAGCGGCGAGCAGCGAGTTAAAGTGAAAACAAAAGTCGAAGGAAGATTCGTCGATGACCTCGAACTTGATGAAAACTTTGCGTTAATAAAAATGAGAAATTACTCACGAGTAAGAACATCGATTATCGCTGACGGCTGTTTGAATACGAGAAATGCGTTCATCATGAAAGGAATTCCATTCGCGATCATTCTTGCAGCATGAGTAACGTCATTCGTTACTCGGTTTCATTCCTCTAAACGTTTCACTTGTTTTCGCGTGTTTGTAATTTGACTATTGAAGTCTTTCACCTTATTACACAATTCGATTGTTAAATTGTTTCGTGATGTCATCAAACGACGACTTTGAACAGCTCTCGAGTTCTTTTCCGCGTGAGTTAAAAAAGTTTCTTTCGTCGTGAGCCGAAAAGTCGAATTTGAATTTTAATGTCTTTGACTGAGTTTATTTGGTTTATGAAACATCGAATGAATACAGATGATTGAGTGTTGTAGGTGGAAGACACATTTGGTGATGATCGCTGTTGTTCCATTGTTGTTTGATTACAAACGAGTTGTTTGTTGCATAAGCTTCAAAGCTCGCGTTTACCTCGGATGACGAAATTCACCTTGAGATTGTTTATCGAGTTCATTATTGCTTAGAGTTGAGAGATAAGAAACGAAATCAGAAACGTGGAACATCATTCGTTAGATCGACATTGCATTCTACTGACGAAAGGAGAAACTTAACGTAAAACGTCATCAAACGTGACGACACATTTGAAACGAAAGAATAATTTGTAGCATGCAATTAAACAAACAACTTTCGATGTGTTATCTATCGAAAGCAAAGGAAAAGAAGAATCAAAGCATAGCAGAAACATTATTCTCATTAGTGATGTTCCAATAATTAGACAAAGGAAATCATCGTGGCGTGAAATGTCACCAACGGTGTTGATGTTTGGTTATCAATGAACACCAGAACATCACTTACTCCAATTAACATCGTCCCACTCACAATAAATGTCAAGGTTTTGATCGACTGCATCATCGACGATGAAATCTGGAGGAAGATTTGAATTGTTTTCCACACGATTCTTATTTTATTGCAAGCTGCAACAAAACAAATTGAAATCATCATAAATGTAATAAAACATCATGAAACGGATGTAAATTTATATATTTTGTCTCCGACTCATAAGCAATGCACAAACATTGTCTAAGTAAATAAGAATAATGAGAATGAATTGAATAATAACAGCAAACTAAACTTTAATAAATGCAACGACAACATTGCAGTTGATGAGATTCAAGCTAATGGGGATTTGGATCCGAAGAGAGTGGAATCGTCACCGTTAAGCTTTCTTAAGTAGTTAATTGTTAATTAGCGAAAGAAATGAAATTAATTGCACTTAAGATGCTGCTGGTGCTGCCTCTGCTTCGCATTCAAATGAAGGTCTTTAAGAAAGAATGAAAGAAAGATGGAAACTTTCAGATTCACTGAACTCACTTCGCTTCTATCGAAAATTTATGAAAATTATTATTTTCGTTCAAGTTTTCGTGTTTCCAATCTCTCATAATAAAACAACTTTAATTATCGTGGGCACTCTTTCAGCTCAACTCAAACTAACAATTATTTTACGATGCTCAAAAATATTTCGCTTTAATAGTTTTCCTTCTTTCAATTTTTTATTTAAATATCTGCCCGAAACATCACTTTTAATGAAAGCCCGAAAACATTGCGATTGGGGAGAGTGTGAAGACGACGTCACACAAAGTGGAGGTTGGAAGTGTTGATGATTAAGTCAATGCTGGTGGCGACGTTACTTTCAGAATTTCTTTTCCTTCTTTCTTCAATTCCCAACTTCCCAAAAAATGTTTTCAACCAAAAATATTCTCATAAATTTATTATTGCCATTGTTTTCTCGCGCCCGCTCTCAACGTAGTTCGCAGTTGGTTCTTAAGTAGCCCAACTTCATCTGTGCGAGGTTTGTTTAAGCGAGGGGAACAGAGTGAACTTCTTTTAAATCAACCATTTATTCATTTACGACCGAGGATGGGAGATTAATCTGATAAAAAAGCATTAAAGCTGTGCACGGCTATTTAAACATCTGAAATTTGTTTAATTTTTATGCTCAATGCGCTTTGATGTTTATGACGAACACGACAACGAACTGCACGATCAAATTCACCTGAAAGTTACGCACTTTTACAACAACTTTGAGTCATCAAATGAATGTCTGAAGTTGTTTCTCGTGTTTGTTCGATGTCGTGCGATAAAAGTTAAATTTTTATGTCTGTTGAATTTGTCGAAAATTATGTTCAATCGCGAGCATAAATTTTCTTCTACGTGATGATGGAAAATCGTTCAATCTGTTCGATTTCTTATGAAGGTAAAAAAGCAATCGAGAGTTGATAAATTTCCACTTGAACGTTGACACAATTTTCTTGCTTAGATATTCATTTCCTTCTGTTTGAATTATTGCTTTGTTTGTTTCCCTTAATTCTTTAAATGCTTTATGTTTGTCATTTAACGAAACACCAACAACGACGACGAAAGAAAATCTTTTGCAGAAAATCGATTCAGGCTGGAAAAGTGCAGAAAAAAGGGGAAAAACATTTTTCATGTTTCTTTCTTTTATTGAGAATTATCGGGGGAAAGTCATACATTTGGCTAATAAAAGAAATGATTTATGATGCAATTATTGACGATAATAAATGTCGTCTGGTTGAAGGGAGTCGAATATCAAATTACACATTCCAACGAATGTCAAGAAGTAAAACAATTCTAATGAACGGGCCTGAATTATTAATCAAAACATAATTTAAGAGGTGGGTTGCATGTCTACCCTTCAGCCTCAAATGTTTTCTTTGATCTCCGTTCGCTCTCATGACCATTCGATCGATTTTATAAATTGCTCTGATATGACGCGCGTGTTCGTAATATTTACAACATTTTAAAGTGAAATCCAACATTTTTTAAATAATTACAATATGAATGAAGTAATTCATTGTAATTGTTTTTTAATGATTCGCGATTTGTTTGCTCGTGCGAACACCACGAGAGAAATTAATTCTTTCAAACTCTTCATGAACTCCAATAACCGGAAATCAAATAACAAAAATTAGAGTCTAAAGCGTCGATATTTAAGTAAATGTTTTAAAAAAGAAAAATCAATTTAAGTGAATCAATGAATTTTGCACCATCATGATTCTGCTTCATCTCAAATTTGTTTACTTTTCCTTTTCAATTATCATGTGAATTCAATATTCCAACAATCGAAAGCAAGCAAAGATGTTTTGAATGCACGTCGTCGGTGCTTCAATCAATGTAAAAAGTTATTTGATTGATGAAGTTGTTTGGAACGATCGAATGCATTTTGTGACCAGTTCTTTATATTTTTAAATAAAACTTTGAGTGAAGCCGTCAAAAAATTGATCTTTGTACTTTTGAAAGATACCAGAAAACATTGTCATTGATAAACAGACATATTTCAACCAATTTACAGCTTGTTGCGACATCTCAAGATGCCATCAACTTCGTGTTAATTAAATTAACATTTTTTAAATATCTTAAAGTTTATCCGTGTCTTGTTGACATGAAAAAAAATCTTTTTTTTTGTATGGAATGTAAGCACAGTCACCTTGATCGTACTTACAACAACTTATTCCGCGATTATGATTTGTAAATGAGAATTATTTGCTGTAGATCATTAAACAAGTTTTTTTAAACTCTCTTTCTCGATTGAACTCGTAATTTAAACATCGACTTTGAGACTTGGTGATAATCATTGCTTTGCTTTGCTTCTCTCCTTCTCTCAAATTTATTCGAATTTCCAACAACTCTCAGTTCAATTTCAGAGTTGAGTTTGTGTAGAAGGTGATAAAATAAGTCGCAAAAAAAATGAAGTAAGTTTCAATTTAAAGTTCACTGGAGCAGAAAAATTGAAAGCAAAAATATTTGCTTATATTTTAGGCACATCACTTTGTTCGTTTTGGTTGTTTTAAGTTGCGCAAGCTTCGTCTTTGTATCGGCAGAAGAGTTACAAGTTGAGTCAACATCTGAAAGTGATTGGAAAGATAAGGCACAAGTTGTGTTGGATAAAACTGTGACAGGAGCGAAGGCTGTTGGTGGTGCAGTCGCTGAGTCGACAAAAAGTGGCTACGTAGCGACAAAGGAATATTTTGGAAACAACACTGTCGGTGACATTGCTGGAGATGTCGCTGATGGAGCGAAAAAAGTCGGAACAGGCATCGCAGACGGCGCTAAAAAGGCTTGGAACACCATCACAGATTTATTCTCATAAACAAATTTTATTCTCAGAACCGTATTTGTGTCGCTTTCATATTCAAAACTCTCAATTAAATTTGTTTTAATTAAATAAATATTCAATAAAAAAAACGATTGCTGATGAACTTTTGACACTTCTCTCAATTAATAATTTAGTTTGTTCCTCTCTTCACGGGATTTCGCAAGTTATGTCTAGCTGTAAGTCTGTTATTTAAATTCTCTATCAATCTAATGAATTCTTTTAAAACTTTTGGCATATAAGATCGAACAGTAGAGTTCAATGTCGTTGCATAAACTCTGCAAACGACACATTAAAATCAGATAAAGATTTTGAAAGTATTTTGTCGAATTTTATCTTTGCAAATGAACATGAATTTGAAAGTGTTAACAAAGATATCACCATTCGATCTTTTTACGATCGCGATCTTATATAACGTTCCAGTTCTCATCGACAGTGAAAGCTGATCGCACTCGTTCACAAAAATGACATCAGCTGCTTTGATTGCTTTGTTTGCTTTGCTCTTATCGCCTCTCAAATCATTTCATCAATGTAAATTGCCCATCATCATCGTCATCATTGTTGTCGCCAGATGAATCCATTGTCGTGATAATTGAGAACGTGTGTGAGGTTGAACAATGGGTAAAACTACTCGAATAAAAAGAAGATTTTGATTGGTAAATTGCGCAAAATTTTTCACAACAAACATGCAAGACGATGATTCAGAACGGATCAAAACACTTTAGCATAAACGCAACTTCCGCTGTTGTCGTGTGATTCACTTCACTTTAAAAATGTGTGACAATAAATTAAATTTGCCTGAGTTTAATGTTGCATAAAATGATGTCATCCCTTCATGAAGAACTTTTAAGAAGAAAGTAATCGATGACAGAGAATATTTTTGTTGTGATTTTGTCCTTGCTCGACAGCAGCAATTACTCGACTATTCTAATAGTTATCGATCAAATATCAAGAATAAAAGGAGAAAAATACTGCGTAAGTCCTTGTAACATTAGTTAATATTTGATTGAGTCACAAATAATAGATTATTGTCCTCCCACGCATTAAATCCTTTATCGACATCAGACAAAAACCAGTACACGTGTCATGAAAATAAAATAATTTGTGTTTATCTCTCTACAATTTTTCATTTTATCTTTCATTTACAGAGGCTTGTAATAGTCGAACTGTTCCACGACCAAAACCAACACCTGCCCCACAAACACCCACAACAACGCCAAGACCAAACATTACATTCCAAACCTTTAAATGTCCGCCAGAATATGCAACGTGGTATTGTCTAAACGGAGCGACCTGCTTTACTGTGAAAATCGGAAAAGAAGTTCTCTACAATTGCGAGTAAGTTTCAATTATTTTACATAAAGAATAAGACATTAAAATATTGGGAAAGAAAATTGAGTTGACAATGACTTATGATGATGATTATCGCACCTGATGCGACCTGATTAACCTCTCGGTGTGAAAAAGCAAAATAATATGTAATGAAATTGACTCTAAACACGGCCGGCGCTAAACGTGCCACTAATGTTATCGATCTGCTTACAATGTTTTTTTTTATTTCTTTTCTTCATGTCTCACGCTGCTTTGCTACGATGGTCACATGACCTCCATTTCTCCCCATACGATGTATATGATTTTTATGTCCAACGTATTCGCGTGATTGAGACAGTAAACAAAGTGCCACGTCTAAATGAATTATGACGATGAATGACTTTGAGTTAGGGATTAAGAAGCAAGCTTACGAAAATGCTGCAAACGTTAAATTACTTTCAAGTTTGTATGAAGCGACAACCGTTACTATTATCAAACTATTTCTTATCTTGAATAACTTAATTTGACCTCTTTAACGGATAATTACAAGGACTGATCTTATCTCTACTAAAATTCCATGTTGAAAGACTTTAAAAGCTTTTTAACATGTCAATCTGTAATCAAGACTTTTCAGGTCTTTTGTTATTTCTTATTTAACAAATCGCCGTTGAAATGACTTCATTAAGTTCGTCTAGAAGAAATTTTTTACGATTTCTTTTCTTTCTTTTTATTAGATGCCCTGATGGTTATATTGGACCTCGCTGTGACTATAAAGATCTCGATGGTTCTTATTTAGGTAAGTGTAAAGATTAATTATTGATTTAACTAACATTGATTGAGATCTTTATTTAATTATGAAAACATCAGCTGGTAGACCTCGTGTAATGCTTGAAACAGCAAGTATCGCCGGTGGTGCTGTTGCTGCATTATTTCTCTCAATCGTTGTGTTCTTTTTTGTGTATGTCCGATGGCATCAAAACAAAAAGCGAGAACAAAATGAAGAAGAAAGCTTTCAGCAACCTCAAAATGGTCAGACAAATGGCCATCAGAATCTTGGAGCAGATGTCGTCGATGGACCTTGCACATCGTCATGCTGCTGTCAACAGTCACAAGTGTATTTTAGTAGTCAATTAAGTAGCAACGTAACAAATGCAACGAATGGTGATAACAGCAACTTGCAACATCCACAACAGCAACAATTCCAAGCAGTGTCACACGCTCATCATCATCATCACCACCCACCACCTAGACGACCATTTGGACCACACCATTACCAACCAGTTTCAATGAGTGAAGTGATTTTGAGAAGTTAGATGTTGACACGTCTTCGAAGACGATAAAAGAAAAACTAAATCGGTGACGATAATTAAAGAATTTCAATTGACGATTCAAAAACTAAAAAGAAAATTAAAAATATTAAAAACAAGAATTCCAAATACAAAAACAAAGAAATTAACGTAGACATAAAAGAACCAAGATATTTAATTTATTTCATTTGCCTTTTTTGCGGACTTTTCACGTTCGATACAAATAAAAGAAAAACGGGAAATATTTTGCAAGAAGCACAATTTATTTCATTTCTCCCACTCACGCCCATCAAATGTGATATCATCAAAATAAAAAATAAATAAATAACAAACTAATAAAATAAGAATTATTGACTACAATTTGACTCCTCAGACTAATCATCGATGATTCCTAAATGCTTATTAGTTTTGTTTACCTTGCCTTGCTTCAATAATGAATGATTTTTCATTAAAAGGGATGGCAACTCAATTTTATTGTATTCATTAACAAGCCATAAGAAAAGTTTTTCGGAAAATTAACTAACTTAACTGAAACTGCCTTGACTTCGAAATTATCTTTTATTTTTATTCAACTGAATTTCCATCCCCGTAAATAATATTCAAGGCACTTGTCACAAGACATTTGATTATTATCGCAAAGCATTATAAGTATTACCAATAACTAATGTAGAACAACATAGCTTAATAAAACTTTCGACTACAAGGAGGAAAAGAAAAATATTTAGGACAAGAAGAAAAACTCCGTGAAAAAGAAGAAGAAGAAGGCAGGAATTTGTATTGGAAAATCGATAGACGTGAGAATGGGTATGGGAATGTATTACGGACGGCGATAAATCATGGTGGAAGGTGAAAAAATCTATAAGTTTCTTTTTCCTTCAACATGAAGGCCGAAGAAGAACAAGAAGTTAATTTTTTTTACTTTCCATGCTTTAATCGTATTAATTTCATTGGTTGAAGCTTTCGCCAAGTGAAATGTTTTCCTTGAACAAAACAGAAAAGTGATAAGCTTTCAAATAAATAAAATGAATTCGCTTTCAAATCTCAAATGTTGTATTAAATATCAATAAGATGTCAATCTTTAGTAAATATATAAAACAGCAAAAATAGCCAAAGAAACAAAAATAAAAAAATCAATTAGAAACTTGAATTCAATAATTTGTTGATGGAAAGTTAATTTTCTTTTATTATTTTTGAGGGAGTGAAACTTCCTTCCTTCAAGCATTCAAGTTCACGACATATTTGACTAGAAAACCAGTGAGAAAAATGTATCAGGAAGTAATTAACAATAATTAGCGCCCTTTAATCGCTTTCTATTAACTAAAGAATTACGACAACAAAAAAAAACTATTCCATTGACATACTAAGTAAATATTCCACATAGGCTGATTAAAAATGATGGAAACGAAGTAAACTAAATCATCAAACATTTGTGCAAATCTAAAATTCTTTTGTTATTAATCTTTCAAACCTTAAAGATGCTTTTTTTTCGTTATTGTAAATAGAATCAAATTATTATAATTATTGATAAATGTGGGAATGTTAAGAAGTTACTTTCATTGAAATTGAGAGCTGACTTAACTTTCAATCATTCCCTAATCGAAAATAAAGAAGAAAATTGAAAATGTCCCCGTTATGAATAAAATATTTATTTTCATTTTCCGACATCCCCTCCCTCTTTTCCCTCAGTATAGAAATAGAAAAGAAAAATGTTTCTAAGTAATTAATTTATTATCACGATGAGAGAAATTCTTATTAAATTATTCCAACAACAACATAAAAATGAAGAAGCAAAAAATGTTGCAAAATAAATTGAATCTGAAAATGAAAATGATCCACGATTGAAGGTGTGGAAATGAATGAGAAAGGTCAAAGATATGAAAAAATAAAAATAAAAGAAAATATAAATTATGGAACTTTTTATTTTCGATTGAGTGCGATTTCATTTTCAGTTTATGTGATCTCATCATGAAATATTTATCAGTGAGTGAGTATTAAAAACTTTCATGATATCTTTATCATCGTCGTCGTCAAAGTTCATCATCGTAATCATAAGGTAAGAGAGTAATTAAAAACTTTACCGTCACAATCACGCGAACATGTTTTTCTTGTATTCATTCTAGAAGCTCATATGTCGAGCAGAAATCATCCAACTAAGTTATGAACTTACAAAGCAAATCGATAACATTAGTGGCGCATTTAAAGCCGTGTTTAGGGTAAATTTCAGTAATTTCTTTTTTTCTTTTTCACACTGTAAAGCTATTCAGGTCGCGGCGACAAGTGCGATAAGCGTTTTTTACTGTTGTTGGTTTTTGAGGGTGTGAACTGTGATTGTCATATGATTTCTCTGTTCATTTGATACTTTCACAACCTTACTGAAGACATTCATTTAGTCTTCTACTTGATTTATGCAAAGAGAAAGCTCGCAATCAATTTTCCTACTTGCGATAAGGAAAATTCTAACAAGAAAAGTTTCGTGATACAACTCATCAATCATTCAACAAACGAATATGCGTAGGAGGACAATGAACCAATAAAGTTTATCAAAAGCGTGTAATGATTAACGATTCTATCAAACAATCACGCAATTTATTATTTGACGGATAATTTAAATAACGTGTAATTATTGTTGTTATTTTCAATTGTGAGTAAGGAAGACGAAGTTTGTAAGAACTTTGAACTTTGAAATAATTTCTATGATTACTTCTTATTATTCAATTGTTTCTTCTTCCTTAGTTTCTTAGCGCCAGCTACACTTATAATAGAAACTGATTGAATTTCATTCATAAACCAACATTTATGGCTTGATTAGATTTGCAAGTTGAAACATGACGTTATCAATTATCAAATGAAATAATCGGAATTCCCATGACAACTTGCTTTGTATCTTATCAGCAACGAAATTGATGATTCTTAGTTCATTTTTAATATTTTTAAATATGCTAAACCTGTGATTAAGACTCAACTAAATTCTTCAATAACTCACAAAATTCAGATGTCAAAGTCAGCGACTTTTCCAATAAAATTAAATTTATTCTCTTAAAATATCTTTGAACAACTTCCGGGCTAATTTTACCCTCCAGATGTTGCCTTGTTTTAAATAAAAACTTTTTTATACCTAAAATCCTTTGACGGTAAAACAGCTATCAATAAATCAGAAGCTAACAAATGATCCTGAATTAGTTTCATCATAATTGATGTTCAAAACTGAAAAAAGATGCACATTTTGGGGCAACCGTAATTTACCTTAAAAGCAGCCTTGTCATAATAACACTTTTAACTGACTGTTGATATTTTTATTTATAACCCAACAGTTGTATATCTTTATGACTGTTTTCGAATGAACTTGTGTCTAATTTGTTGAGAAAATTATTCTGAGATGTTTTCGTATTTAAAGAATTTAACAAGTGCTCAGTTTATGTATGCAAATTTATTCCAAAGAAACTTAAAATCTTCTTCTTATGAAGCTTAAACAGCCTGTTATTTTATAAATTGTAAATATGAGCCCATAGTTTTACGAGATTAAGACCACACGTAAATTTCGGGAGCTTCTTCTATTTTTTCTCTTAAGGCTATTTCTTCATCTGCCGTCATTTTAGAATTTAATGAATGCTTGAGAATCTTTTTCCGCTGACTCACTTTCAAATTAACATTTCTCCAACCCTTACCTACTTATTTATCGACTAATAAATCATTCCCGTTAATCGATTACACCCAAAAAATGTGTAGAAGCATGAAAGGATCCAATTTTTAATTTGACGTTTATCCTTTTAAGGATTTGGAATTTCATTATATCAAAGATATGAGATTAAAGATATTTCCGACTCATCTACCACTCGACATGTCTACTTCATTTGTTTTATGAGTCGTCAAACTTCGGCGACAACTTTTATTGCCAAAAAGAAAAAAGTTCAACAGACTCAGTGGAAAATTTTGCACATTTCATTAACAATAAACTTAACTAAAGTTTCAATGTCAATAAAAAGTTGGAACTTTTATATTCAACTTCAGCTGATGCTGAAGAAAGTATAAAGTCACGGTAGACAAAAAAGTTTCAATTTCTTTTATTGTTTCTGTGTAACAAAGCGACAGTGAATCCTTTGCCAAAACAAGAGGGAAAGCTTCGAGAAAGTGGTTTTCACTATTCTTCTTCCGCATCAATAAATAAAGTTTTTAAAAACACTATAAAACCATAAAGCCATAATTCTTTTGCTGGAACTTGCTCTTCCTAGACGTCTGGTTTGCAAAAAATCACCACGAAAAAGCTTTTCCTAGTGACAGTCAGCACATCGAGACATTCCAAAATAAATCATGGAAATGGAAAGTGGAAAATTTATCATCGTAATGTTTTATTCTGTTGTCAAATTATCAGCAAATTAAGTGAAATTAATCAACCGAAGAACAATTGAGAATATATTCGAAGAAAACTTTAAATTGCATCATCGACATAAATCATTAAAAATTGTTTTTGAATTTCAGACACGAGGCTAAGCTTAAAGTTCATTATTGAAACTCATTCATGCACCACATATTTGGCTTATCTTTTTTCAAGCGATTACAAAGTAATTTTTTGTCATGATCGCAAATAAAAGGAATTTAAAGAATTTTTTTTCGCTAAGCGACACCCGCTTGTCGCGCCTTTATCAGCAAATAATCAAACATCAAGTGCTGTGTGCTAAATGCGGAACATTTTATCACATATCATCATATGAATGATAAGAATGTTCGACACACGTTTCGTGTCGTAACAATTGTTGATATTGTCGGTGAATTTACGAGAAAAGTCAGCACATTTCAAGTGAACTGTTAAGAGATACTAAAAGTTAGTCATTATCGGCTTTTCAATGAATGTGAGTGGGGAAATGAGGTATTTTCTCATAAACTGTGTGATTCCCATGATTATCTATGAATCAAGAATGACAACATTCCATTTTAATCATTTTGGAAAGATAAAATTAGTTATTCAACAATTCGAGTATCTTTCTATTCATCTAAGAGAGAAACTAAAGAGAAAATTTAAAAAATGTTAATTAAATTAACACGCAATACTGATGGCATCTCTCCGATGGTGCAACATGTCACAACAGATTGTAAATTAGTTGAGAAATGTTCTCAACTTATGTTGTCAGCTTGGAATGAATGAAGAATCAATCTTCGAAGAACTGGTTGCAGAATAGGATCACTTGTTCATCAGACCGACACATGTTGATGCATCACCATTATTGATTGATCAGAAACATTTCAAGAATTTCTCACAAATGATTAAAAGAACCGACAAACATCAACAGCTCTTTTCAAGTATCAAGAAATTTAAATTCACCTTCAGAAGAAATGAAATGTAAACAAGATAAAAGATTTACAAGAGTGATGATGATGCAAGAATAAAGATCGAAGAAGCTGAAGATGAAGTCAAGAGGGTTGCGAGGTAATTTTAAATCAAGGAAAATTCTAGATCAAAATTGTGAGAAACTTCAAGTTTCAATTTTTATAATAAAATTTTTATTATTGAAAGCATAAAAAATTTATTGCGCTGTTGGATACAAAGAAATCGAATGACAGTCAACACGAAGCTTACAAAATCCTTTTTGTGGTTTTTATTTCCGCTTTGCAACAAAATAATTTTCATAGCTTCAATAAAATTATGATCGTAATGGAGTTTTGATGAAGACGAGTTTCGTTTGAAGAAGATTCCAAGAACACCTCACACTTAACTGATTATCGCTTGAATGGAAAAGGAAAAGTTATAGAAATCTTGTAAGTCATCATTAAGCTTCTTAATATGAGAAATTTCCTTAATTACTTGAACTAAATAGCTAAACGACTGACTTTGTGCAAACAAACAAACTGCAAGTCATTAAAAAATCATTAAGAGCTCGCTAATTTTTATGCCTTCGTAAAAGACGATCACATTTCTCTTTACTAGCTTATCTTGTCTGAGATTTTATAGACGAGTCTGAAAGTGATCAAGTTTCACATGTAATTAAACTTTGAATTCTGTTGAAACAATTGAAACAATTAAAATTTTAATTTTGTTGATACAATCTGGATTATCTTACGAAATTACAATTAATTAATTTATTTACAATTGTTCAGTTGAATTATTTGATTTTTATAGGAATGTGAAATTTGATGTTCGACTCCCTTCAACCAGACGACATTTATTATCGCCAATAATTGCATCATAAATCATTTCTTTTATTAGCCAAATGTATGACTTTCCCCCGATAATTCTCAATAAAAGAAAGAA